CTATGATTTGCAATGCACAGCGAGTTTGTGTGTGCCAGTTGTCTATTTGCTTTCCCAGTGTAGTGGCTGATGAAAACGGCCTGTGCCAGTGTTTTCAAATTGTGGTTGTTTTAGCTGCCAGTGTTCCTTCTCCTTAGCGTTCCTCTATCCAGTTGTTGCAAGTGGTTAAACTGCTTTCTACTTTTACACTTCTAATAGCAGTGCGCTCTAGCTTACTGTGCCTGCTACTCACTGAGCGACAAGCTACCTGGAGCACTTTAACAGTACTGGACTCTTATGGTGATTTTATGATATGTTGGATGTGAGTTTTTAAACTGCAATTTGAGTTACTTGAACTTTTACTACTTTACTTAAAAAGAGTTCATCTTTGACTAGTTTTAATTTTTTGAAAATAACTAAGCAGTGTTTCAGCTTTAAATCAAACGTTTTCTGGTGTCAGTTGAGCTTGGCCACTGAAGTGCTCTTTTTGTGTTGTTGCTGGCAGGAAGATGGGCATAGCAGTCACACTTTTGAGTATCTGTTTTTTCGATAACATGTTTGACTTATTTTTAGCTTTTTCATTAAAAATAAAAATGAGTTACACCAACTGTCTCACCAGGTGACGCTTGACGATCGTCATCAGCTGCAAAAAAGTTCCTAATCGGTCAAAGTGTTGGTGTTTTAAAAGTCGTCTGCAAGTCATTCAAAAACATCAACCGCCGGCCACCATCAAACACGGCTTCATGAGTATCAAACGTGTTCTAATCGGTCAGCAATTTAGTGGTTTAGTTGACACAACTTAACAGCAAATTACTTTATTTTTTGCAGGTGGGGGCACTGGGTTTATTGGACGTGCTCTGGCCAAAGAGCTCCAGAAGCAGTCCATTCAAACATGCACCGTATCACGAATGCCCGCTCCAAACTCCATCACTTGGGTATTAACTGTTTATTGTTTACTAGTTTGATAAACGTCAACAACTTCTGAGCTACTCTTTGCTTTTGCTGCTCTCTTCTGCTACTTTTTTGTTCATCTTTACAATGTCAGCATTGTACATAACATCGGTGATTAACTTGTCCCACGTCCATTCAATGTCGTTCTCTCGCACCTTTTCTTCGCTTACTATGTGTTTCGCTAAAATAGCCAGGTCAACGTTGTCAGTTGTTGACAAAAACGGCGTTTTCTTGATCTTCTTGTCCAACTCTTCAAGATTATCTAGACGATTGATCTCTACATTAGGGGCATCAGCTGTTTGCTGTATAAAGTCCTGGTCCCTCAGTTCATCAATATCTGGAATGACGTGCTCTTCATCTTCATCATCTAAGTACAGACTTTGAGCCGTCCTTGTTTTATTAGATCCAATCCCTTCGTCATCGAAGCTTGTATCAAGTGTATTCCATGTTGAGAATAATTGCGAGCTCGATTCCTAAGGGGTTTTTAAAGTTAGAAATCACCCTTGATTCAAGTGGAATAGTTTGGCTTACCCTTTCACTGGGAAATTGGCTGGTTTTTTCAGTGTTTGTCCTTTTGAACATGAAACTCTTGAATTTGCCTTCCATTTGGTTCCCTTTGATTGACATAGCGTACTATGTTGTTTGGCTATTTTTTGGTTGCCATGGAGACAGTTTTCCCATGAAGTCAACAAACTAGAGGCAAATTGAAATTAATTAATTTTCTCTTTACTTGCAGACTGAACTTCTGGAAAAAGGACTCCCTGGTGAGGTGGACGCAGTCGTCAACCTGTCTGGCCAGAATGTGCTCGACCCACTGCGCCGATGGACTGATGGCTTTCGGCAGAATGTGGTCTCCTCACGCGTGGAGACAAATCGAATGCTCTCTGCCTCCATTCGCCAGTGCCGCCACAGTGCTCCACCGAAAGTCTTCATTACCATCTCCGGCGTTGGCTACTATCCCCCTCACCCCAGTGAGGAGTACACTGAGGACAGCCCTGGCGGCGACTATGACTTCCTCTCCAGACTGTGCCGACAGTGGGAGGACGCCTGTCAGGTTGGCCCGGAGACGCGAACCATAGCCGTGAGGAGTGGCATTGTGCTGGGCAAGGGCGGAGGCATGATTCAGTCCATGTACCCGCTCTTTTACCTTGGACTGGGGGCAAAAATCGGCTCCGGCACGCAGTACATGCCCTGGATACACCTGCACGACCTGGTGGCCATTCTGATTGAGGCAATGCGAAATGAGAAGCTCTCATCGGGGGTCATCAATGGCACTGCGCCTCAGCTCATCACCAATGCGCAGTTCACGAAGGCATTTGGTCGTGCCATGTGGCGTCCGGCGGTGTTCACCGTCTCAGAGAGGGTCGTCGAGATGGTTTTTGGCGAGGAGAGAGCCGTCATGATGACCCAGGGACAGAAGGTGCACAGCAAGCGCTTGGAAGAGTTGGGCTTCAAGTTTCAGTACCCGGACATTGACAGTGCTTTGAAGCAAGTCGTTTCCGGATAGCTGCTTCCCACACACTAGTGAAGGTGCATAAATAAGAATATTTTAATTCAATGTAGTGACAGATTAAAAGAAAAAAATCGCCACTTTATAAAACATATGTACAAAACAGTTTTCTAGTGTATAAGAAGAGGTATACAAAAGATAAACACAGTGTAAGTGAAACATTTGTTTGAAGGTTAAAATATAATATTGAGGCACTTGTATAGCACAGAAACCGAAATCATGGACGAGCAAGCGGTCACTCTACTAGTACTGTTGCTTCTATTGCCAGGTTTGTTTCGGAAAGTTCGCCACATCAGACTGCTCAAGAATATTTTGACCATTGTGCTTGTACGATAGTCGAAGGCGCATTCGCAGTTGGGTCTGTCAGGAATGAAAAGATGCACTGGTTAGCTGCTGAAACACTGTAGTTTTACACTCTTGTAACATACCTTGTTGGGGTTAGTGACTTTAATCAGCTGACTTAGAGAGCCACTTCCATTTGCTGGAACGGCAGTGCCTGAAGGCGGCATTAGTTGAAGTTGGAATGACTATTGTACGAAAAATGGCGTTAGTAAAGGATAGCCAGCATCAAGAATCAGAGTAAAATCGTACCTTAGGAACAGCTGCTTGAAATAGAAAGTCCTCAATTGGCAAAGGGTTACTATTTGAGGCGATCAAGGTGATCACAATAAGCGAAGGGTTATCGGTAGCCTTCTCAAAGTTAAACTCCAAGCGAAGGCCATTCTTCTCGTAGGCGGTTATGGGTGGAATCTTCTCCATCTCACTATTGGCAGCACTGTCAGCTATTGGAAAGCTTGCAATGTCAAACAGATTATTGCTCGCAGTTGTGGTGGTCCCGTTGGTGGAGGCCACTGGAATGCTTGCTGGGGCCGGGGTTGCCTGCGCCGAATTACTGCTGTTCACCGAGCCAAAGAGCGAATCTAAACTGTTCAGGTCGTTGGATATCTTGGCACTGCTCTCATTGGCAACGATTGCAGCACTGGCGATGCCGCCACTGTCCAGACTGCCCAGTAGGTCGAGGACATCATTGGCTGCGCCGGGATCAATGGCCGTGCTGCTCCCTTGCAGGGTGGCCGAGCTGGTGACATCGTGAGTCGGCGACAAGTCGAGCAGGTCAAGCAGTGCCGAGCTGCTGTTGAGGACCACACTGCTATCACCGTTGGCCGTTGCGGTAGGCGCTTCCGAAGACTCAGCAATTTGCTCTCCGCCGTTCTCCGCGTCCAACGTCCTCTCCCTTCTAATCATCAGGGGCATCTTCTCGAGGACATTCGGTCTCAACGTGTCATGGCGAGAGAAGAGCGTGGTAAACTCCACTGCTCGCTGTTGCAACTCAATACTGTGACTGCAGCCGAAGAGGTCGACAATCTGTTTGACACGGGCTGACTCGGAGGGAAAACGGACACTGAGCTTGGTGAGCGCGTTCAGCGTGTACTCCTTGCTGATGAGGGTGAAGTGGATGTTGGAGAGCACCTCTTCGCACTTGTCGATGATCTGTCTGCCGTCTATTGTTTCGCCGTCCAAGCTTTCGCTGTTGCTACATTGCACGAGAAGGTCGGCAAATTCGCCGATCGACCACATGGCGACCTGAACCAGTGGCTGCTTGGAGACCAGATCACCCTCCAGCTCGAGCCACAGCTGGCAAACGGCATAGCTGTGCAGCGATTCACTGCTAGATATCAGCTCGATTAGCAGACCAACCACATCATCACGCACATAATTTCCTGCCTACAAAGACAAACAATAAACAACAAAAAGCAGAAATTAGTTACCAGGCGGGAGATGGCAAACGAGTGAGTGAGCATACGTACAGTGTTTAGGATTTTGATGACGGTGTCGATGTGCCACTTTGGATCAGGGGCATACTTTTCGGCAGATATGCAGAGGTTCGATGAGCAGATAGACTTAAACTCTGGGTCAGTCTTTTCCAGAAACAGAATAAGCTCTTTAGACATTGTTTTGATGTTGTTCTCGTTGATTAGGGCAAAACACAGCTCCATGGCCTTCTTGCGAATCGTTACATCAGGATCTTTGAGACATTCAACAATTGTTGTACGATGACGCTGTACGGCATTGTAGTCCGCTTGTACGGTCTTCAAAAGGGTGGTCAAGGCGACGTATCGAATGTTCTTGTCGGTGTTCAAAAGAAAACGGCCCAAAATGTTTATGCCAAGTACTCGAAGGCCGCTTTCAGATTTAATTTCCATGATCGATATAACGGTTTCGTATAAAATTGCATTCCCGACGTTCTTGCTACTTTCAGTGTTGGTCGCAACCTGAAAACGCAATAAAGTAGTTAGATTACATTTGTCTACATAAAAAGACATTTACAAACTTTAGCATACCTGCGCTAAAATGTCATTCATTGCTTCACTCGTCGCCTCGTCGTTGCGGCCTAAAATTCGAAGAAGTCGCAAAATCTTTACTTGCAAAAACGGATCGGAGACACCGGAAACGTCGTGCTCTGGTGAGTAGCCAGACATGATTAGGTTCTTCAAGATTCTCACCAGGTGCTGAACAAACTGTTAAAAAGTAAAAACGTTAAAATAAATGTCTAAATAGTTATGAAAGGAAAAATGGAAAGTACCTCGGCGTTCTGAAGGTATGAAATAGAGAGAAAATAGAAAGTTTTGAAAAGAGAAAGGTGAAGCAAAGCAAAAGAAGTTTAAGAAAGTGTTAATATGAGCAAAGGATAAGAACCTTTTTGAAGAAGTTCAAAGTGTCAATATTTTGATCACACATTTCAGTGATCAACACAATTCCGGTAATTAGACAGCCTGGAGAAAAGGGGGCAGTTAGTTTCTGTTGTCACCTGTTTGCTGATGTCAGCATACCGTGATTTTTTTCAGAAATGAAGCCTTTTGCCACTGGAAGAAACATTTCGGTAAGTTCGGGTAATTTCCTAATCATCCTAGTTGCACACAGAGCGGCCTTTTTCTTTATGTACGAATTGGAAGACTTCATCAGACGCTCTACTTCACCGAGCAAGTCGCGACTCATTTCGGCAGAGCAGATTGAGCCAAGACAGCAAAGTGCCAGGCCTACAACAAACTGTTGTGAGTTGTTCAAATCACTGAAAAAAGAGAAATGTAAACAAAAGACGAAGGCACCAATGTGAGTTACCAAAACATACTTTTTAAGGGAGTTCGTTATCAGTAAATGCACATCTTGTCGTTCATCAAGTAAAAGCATTGCTCCTAGGTATCCTATTCTTTTGTCGGTGTACCGGCTAGATGCGATGAGCTTGAGGCACTCCAGCTGTTGCAAAAATAAAAATAGTGTAAGTGTGCAAATTAAAACACAGAAATTATTGGGAAAATACCTGGCCAAAATGTGCCGGGTATCCGAGCATGTGAATGTAGAGCAGTTTGGCCACGTTTCGACACCTCCAAACATTATCCTCTTCTCGAAATGTAGACCTGATGTAGGCACACTCCTTCTGCACTACAGCTCGCTCATCGGCCGCCGTTCTGGCCGCCCGAATTTGGCGAATTAAATCTCGAAGCCGAATAGGCGTTGGCAAAGCATTTGTGAAGCTGAAAGAACAACAACAATGGGTATGCAATCAAATGATGTGATGTTTTGCTCTTACCGAGACAAAATGGCCGACTGAAGATTGTCCATTTTAGCTGGCTGGCCGTAGTCTGTAATGGGAAAAGAGCAGGCAAACAGAATGCTCTAGCAGGACGACCTCTCAAGTAAGGTAAAAATGCAACTATGCAAACAGAAAATGCTGAGATAACGGCAATGATGATGATGATGAGAAGGAGAAGGAGGAGAAGGCAGGTGCGTGGAAGCAGGCGAATGAGGAGTGCTCTGCCGAGCTGAGGCGGACTGTGGCGCCAGCAGACGGGCCTTGAAGGGCTTCAGGAGCCTCCGGTAGATGCGGGGCGGGTGTGGGCGGAGGGGCCGAGGATTCACTGCCCAACATAGGTTCTCTCTCTCTCTCTCTCTCTCTCACTAGGCTGCAGTGTTTGAGGCCAGCGAACCAGATGTGTGTTGCCGAGTCTCGCCTGACAGAACTGTATTGTAGACTCAGTCGTAGTGTACGTCATCAGAAGTGCACTGCTGCAGTGGTCGCAGCCGCCGCCGCTGCTGCCTCTGTTGGCTCGGGTGAGTCGTCGCATGCGACCACTACACCGCATCAGCAGCATCCCAACAGCGGCAACAGCACCCAACAGCTTTGCCGGCACTTTAGCCGTCCCACGCACCTGTCCGCCGGAGACTGCAGTTTGTACAGGCTACTCTTGGCGTGGTGGCAATCTTGGAACCACCACCACCAGCCAATCAACTGGTACTCGCCAACGTGCCCAAAGCAGGCCACGTTGCAGCCCAGCAGTCAAGGGCGAAAATGTCATTTATTTGGCTATACACTGCAAAGAAAAGGGTGCTTCATTTGCTAGCTTTCAGTCGCTTCCCACCACCAACAGAAAATTTAGATTTTCTAATTTGCCGCCTCTTCCGAAGGTAGTTGGTTTTATCCTCACTCTTGACGTCGCTTTCCAGCGTTTTTAGCGCCTCCTTGTACATTGGAATCAGAGGCTTCAAGTCGGACTCTTTGATGATTAGCTTTTCAATTTCCAGCTTCTTTTCGCTCTTATGCGCCCTTCTCGAGACAATTGTAAAGTGCTTCAGCTGATCAGGTGTGACCAGACTGATGGCAGTGCCTTCATTGCCTGCCCGAGCTGTACGACCGATTCGGTGAATGTAGGCAGTCTCATTTCGAGGCGGATCGTAGCAGACGACACAGTTGATGCCGTTCACATCGAGTCCACGGGCAAAAATGTCAGTAGAGATGATCATGTTGATGGCACCGCTTTCGAACTGACTGAGGATTTTGGCTCGCTTCCTGATGTTCTGCTTTGAGCTGAACTCGCTCACAACAATTTCCGGCAACTGCTTCATCAGCTGAAAGAGACGATGTGTGCTGCTGACTGAGTCGGTAAAACAGAGAATCTGCCGGTACATGAGCACCTTCACCAGGTGCCAAACTATCAACGGCTTCTTGTCTTTGTCGGCAATGATCAGGTACTCTTTAAGGTTAAGTGGAATTGTTTGCTTTGGATCTTCCACCGTCGAAGTCGAAGTCGAGTTCTGTTCTTTCTCCAGATTGGCAACGTTGTACAGTTCAGGGTAGTAGAGGGACAGATGATCAATTTTTTCCGGATCAGTAGTGAGCGTGGCTGAAAAGAGAATTTTGTGCAGCGCCTTTTTGCGGATATTCGATGGGGCAATTGAGCAGGCGGTAAGAGCGTCAATGTGGTAAACTCGATCGGCGCTGCTGTTGCTGTGGAACTCAGCCTGCGAAACTGTACAAGGGCACAGTTGTTGGGTGTTTGACTGGAATACTGCAAACTCAATTTCGCGCAGCCAGTGAAACTGCGTCTCGTTCATCATTCGGTCCGCCTCGTCGATCACCAGAATCTCCAGGTGCTTCAGTGTGAAGCCATCGCCGTGTTGAATGAGATCGATCAACTTGCCGGGAGTGGCCACCAGAATGTCCACCTGACAGATGTAGCCCACCCCGTCGGCTCGTTTTCGGTAAAACTGCATCGCATCAGATTGGCCGGACTTTCGCTGTGAACTAGTGGCAAGTCCGACGCGCAGAGAGTTGCCCTTGCAGAGCATCTGGAACACCTTGTGCACTTGAGTGGCCAAGTCACTGACGGGCAGAATAACTAGGGCACGAATCTGCGTCACAACTCGCTTCAGCAGGTGGTTCACGATGGGAATTGCAAAGGCCAACGTTTTGCCACTTCCTGTTGGGGAAAGAACGCAAACATCGCGTGGTTGACAGTATTTCAGCTTCTGGAACGAGTCCAGCAGAGTGGGAATGACGGCCTTTTGCACAGGGAAAAGCTTTTCAATTTTGTTCTTTTTCAAGTTTTCCAGCAGACTACCGTCTATGGTGTCGGCAAACTGATCTAAATCACTGGAGTTTGTCTCGAGATTTCCGTCAAACTTGGTAGAATTGCTCATCCACTTTGGAAGACTTGGAGTCACCCTCTTCGCCTTGGCTCGCTTCAAGCTGCCAATCACCTGGAAATCATTGTTAGCAGCTTCGCTGGCTTCCTCCTCAACTGTCGCTTCTCCGTTTTCAACAGCAGCATCCGCATCGACGTCCATATCTTCAACTTCTGGTTGTTTAACGGTCATTTTGCGAGATTTTCCCATTTTGTTTTGATTCAATTTGAGGCGGCAAAAAAACACGTGTGATCCACGTACGGGAGGGATCGCAGACGATGAAAATAGTCGCAAGTGAGCAATCCAAGAAAAATAGACTGGCGATTTATTTTCTTTCTGTCAACAAAAACAATTTCTGCTTTTTTGTGTCAAATCACCATGGCTGATTACGCCAACGTTCGCGTCGGGAAGCTCAAGCTCAAGGGTGAAAAGCGAAAGAAACACAAGAAGAGCAAGCGGGAGAAGGGCGACGAGCCCTCATCGGCGGTGGACTTGAACGACGCCGAGCAGCACGGCAATTGGTTTTCTTGTACCAAGCCCGAGCAAATCACTGGATCTGTTTGCATTGAATACGGCCTTCACCAGTACGTTCGAGCCCTCGACAATGGCTACCTGATTCTAGGTGCCCCTCATTCCGCCGGCGAGGGGCCTGACCAGGAGGAGATCTTTGTGGCAATTCGCTCATCCAGTAATCAAGTGGCCTTCAAGACGGGCTACAACAAGTACCTCAGTGTTGATGCTCGCCACCGAGTGGTCGGTCGGTCGGATGCTGTCGGGCCGAAGGAGCAGTTTGATTCAGTATTCCAGGAAGGCAAACTCGCCATTATGGCATCCAACAATTGCTTTCTCTCAATCGACGAAGACAACGAGGAGCTGCCCTATCTGGTAGCGAAAAGTCACAAAGTGGCCGATTCAGAAATCTGCAAGTTGCGAACAAACATCAATCCCGAGCTGACGCGCATTGAACGCTTGAAGAAGGAGATACCGGACGAGGAAAAGGGATCACTGCGCGACTGTGAAGTCAACTACGTGCGAAAATACCAGAGTTTCCAGGATAAAAAGATGCGCCTCAATTCGGGGAGTGATATTTCGCTGAAGAAGGCGCACAAGGATGGCAAATTACACGAAGCACTGCTGGACAGGAGATCAAAGATGAAGGCAGACAAGTTTTGCTAGCAGATTCGGAGAAAAGTGCACTTCACTTCGAGAGTGATGTGAAGGCAAGAGCAAGATTCGTTTTCCTTGTATCATATTTTGGCAGTTAAAAAAACCACTAGAAAAAAATGCACTGTACTTCTGCACCTTTCAGAGACTCATTTAACAAATAAAACTCATAGACAATGCTCGCTCCACTTTCCATCGTTCACGGCCACCAGAGAGAAGGAGAGAGAGTAGTAGGATAACCCGGCGTAATGATGTAAGCGCTGTGAAAGTCATCTCGAGTTGTTGATGTCGCCGCCGCCGTCGGCCTGCGCAGTGGCGTGCTCAGTCACATGTTCTGCCACTGGCAGTGGCTTTTCACACCAGCACGCTCGTCGCCCAGCCATCTGCTTCAACATCAAAGCTGATTTGGTCTGCTTCCCTAACCTCCGCTGACCCTCACCTCCTCCTCCTCCTTCTCTGGTCTTCCAATGGCCTCCAAGTTTTACACCCTTTACCGGTTCATCAGAAAGAGCTCCGGGCCCGCTGTCAACGGTCGTAGCAGTGGTCTGATCTCTGGCGCTCAGCGTTTCTTCTCCTCAAGTAAGCCGTCTTATGGTAATCTCTCTGTGATCGGTTGTTTACCTTTCAATTCTCTCATTTCCTCGTTTAGATGCGGCAGATAATGAACCTCGGGCTTTGTATTTGGACGCCCAGGCGACAACACCTCTCGATCCAAGGGTGCTTGACGCTATGCTGCCTTACATGATCAACGAGTACGGCAATCCGCATTCGAGGACGCACATGTACGGCTGGGAAAGTGAAAAGGCCGTGGAGAAGGCCCGAGAGCAGGTGGCAAGTTTAATCGGCGCTGACCCAAAGGAGATTGTCTTCACCAGCGGTGCCACCGAGTCAAACAACATTGCCATCAAGGGAGTCGCCAAGTTTTATAAAGACAAGAAGAATCACATCATCACCACGCAAACGGAGCACAAGTGTGTCCTAAGCTCGTGCCGGTACCTCGAGAATGAGGGCTTCAAAGTGACCTATTTACCGGTGAAAGTTAACGGCGTCATTGACCTGGAGCTGCTGGAAAAGTCCATCACTGAGAAGACGGCGCTCGTTTCAGTCATGGCAGTCAACAATGAAATCGGCGTCAGGCAGCCCATTGCTGAAATTGGCGAAATTTGCCGCAAGCGAGGCGTCTTCTTTCACACCGATGCGGCGCAAGCAGTCGGCAAGATACCGCTCAGCGTGAAAGAGGAAAAGGTGGACCTGATCTCCATCAGCGGCCACAAGCTGTACGGCCCCAAGGGAATCGGAGCACTGTACGTTCGCAGGAAGCCTCGAGTGCGCATCGAGGCGGTGCAGAGTGGCGGCGGACAGGAGCGCGGCATTCGCAGCGGCACCCTGCCCACGCAGCTCGTCGTCGGCATCGGGTCGGCCTGCGAGGTGGCCCAGCGGGAGATGAAGTACGACAGTGCCTGGGTGAAGAAGCTCTCCGACCGCCTCATCACCGGCATCATGGCGGAGATCCCCAAAGTCATTCGCAATGGCGACCCCGAGTTCACCTACCCCGGCTGCGTCAACCTCTCCTTCGCCTACGTCGAGGGGGAAAGTCTGCTGATGGCGCTGAAGGACGTGGCGCTCTCCTCGGGCAGCGCCTGCACCTCCGCCTCCCTGGAGCCGTCGTACGTGCTGCGCGCCATCGGCGCCGACGAGGACCTGGCGCACTCCTCCATTCGCTTCGGCATCGGCCGCTTCACCACCCTCGAGGAGGTGGACTTTACCGTGCGCAAGTGCATTCAACACGTCACCCGACTGCGAGAGATGAGCCCGCTCTGGGAGATGGTCCAGGAGGGGGTGGACATTAAGGCGATCAAGTGGACGCAGCACTAGTCCAAACAGTGCACAGTGCAATGTAAATAACCTTCTTACTTTTGATTTGATTCTCCTTCACCACTGTCTTTTGCGACCACTGTTTATTTTTTTTTCTACCTGCGTCCTCCCTCTTTCCCTTCAGCTCATTCGATGGAGCGGAAGAGGCTGATGACAGGTCGATCGGAGGGGGGAAATTGGCAGGCTCTGCAAATTGTCTCTCATTCTGAACAGCTCGGCCGTAGCTGAATAAAGAGAAACTTGTACCTTTGGTGAACTTAAGTGGTGGCGTTATGACCAAGAGGGGGCGCCGAAGATGGATTCATGTGTGTCCCCCAGGCTGGCTGCTGAAGGGCAGCTGATTGATGGAGCACACACTGCACAACCTTTGAACTTTGCAGGTTGCAAAGTGGTGACAGCGGTGCACCAGCAGTGCCTCGCCGCAGCTTTGTGGGACGGTCGGAGGGAGACGACAGTGGGCTGACTGCATTCGTCAGCCTGCTTGGACCAACAGCAGCAGCAGTGTGTGAGAGAGTGTTCTGGAGCAGGCAGTTTGGCTGTGGACCAGCACTGACACTGGTGCACTCCCCAGCACACACTCATACAGTCAGCAATCGATCTCTCTTTCTCTCTCTCCTTCCTGGCTCCACTCTGCTGGGTTACACTGTGCGCGCACAATCGCAGCCGATGCGAGGAGTCCTACTGCTGCTCTTTCCTCTCCTCTCTCTCTCTCTCTTCCCACCATCCGTCCGAATTGCCCGTTCGTCCTAATGGGACGCGCATTTCCATTCCATTCGCAGTGGGCGCCTGTGAGTGAGTGTGAGTGTGTGTGTTGCCTCGGATCACTTTCTCCGGCCACCACCACCACAACACGGCGAACCACACACACACACACATTCTGGCGATGACCCTTTGTGTCTGAAGGTGCTCTGTCAACTCTGGGCAGCAGTGGCTCGTGTTGTGCAGCCATTCGACGACTGCCGTTCGACGACGACGCCGTCTCGCACTCTCGTACCACACAGTCTGTCTGTCTGTCTGCGGCCTGTCTTGGTCTCCAGAGTGGTCTACTGCACACAGGCAGATCCGCAGATTGCCTCTTCAGGACCACTCGTCGATTCTCTTCTCGATTTTCTCTCTCTCTCACCTTCCTGTGATCAAGAAGTGTTGACTCGAGTTTAGTTGTGCGTGCTTGCGTGCTGAAGTAAATAACGACAACAACTTCTTCGACGTGAAGTTATGTGAAGCCTTTCAATAGTGTGTTTCTTCACGACGGTGGCTAGTCAGAGGGCAGACTCGGCACATCGGCAGCAACGGCAGCAACAGTAAACAAACAGACAGACAGCATCATGGAACAGTCGGTGATAACTGAACATGACTGTAACGTTCTCGGCGGTCTCTTTCAGATCATTGTCAACGATCTCAAGGTTTGTCATCGAGAAGTGGCGGATGTTGATAAGCCAACTGTCAACTGTGTTTTGAACACTTTTCAACTTCCTTTCTTCTTCCAGGGCGGCGCGTCTACATGGGAAGACTTCCTGCTAAAAGCGAGCAAGTTTCAGAATCAATTAAAGTAATTATTTATTTATGAACGAAAACTTTTACGCTAATTGAATTCACTACTTTGCAGAGCCACCATTAGCTCTTCAACGGCCTTTCTTGATTCATTCCAAAAAGTTGCTGACATGGCAACTACAACACGAGGTAAACAAGAAAAAAGTTTAATGTTTACGTTTACGTTTCAACCACTTTCATATCATCTACCAGGTGGCACGAAAGAAATCGGAACGGCTTTAACACGTCTATGCCTTCGTCATCGATCAGTGGAAGCCAAGTTGAAGTCGTTTTCCAGTGCCATCCTCGACTGTTTAATCATTCCACTTCAGGACCGAATTGAAGAGTGGAAAAAGACGACTGTTCAACTGGACAAGGAGCACAGCAAAGAGATGAAGCGACTGAGACAGGAGTTCAAGAAACGTCAAATCTGTGATCCACTCATGACGTCGAATAGCTTTCGCTCAAAGAAACATTCGTCTCGAATGGGTAAAAACTCCAAATACGATTTTGGCATCTACGGCACAATTGGCGCGGCCAACAAATCAAGCAATTCCAACTTGTCGCGTTCCCTCGACTCGGAGATTGAATCCAACGAGCGACTACAGCAATCACTGATGCTCTTTGAGGATCTGGAGAAGAAGGCGGTGCGCAGAGCTCTCATTGAGGAGCGTAGTCACTTCTGTTTACTGGTCAACTTCCTGAGACCAGTCGTGGAGGAGGAGATTGCCATGATTCAGGAAATATCACATATCCAGGAGATAATGGAGTCGCTGTGCAAGCTGACCACCGACCCGTTTGATCTTCCACCGTCAAGTGAAACCGTCATTTCCAGTTTGAAGGTGAGCAAAAATGGCAGCACTGTGTGGAACTTCCAGTCGCCGCCAAGTTCACCTAGCTCACTTGGATCTCGCAAATCGAGCATGTGCTCCATATCAAGCTACAACAGCTCTTCCAGCAGCAGCACTTACGGCCCCACTGGACCCAACAAATACCTTTCTCTAACTCATGTAAGTCAACTGCTCGACATTGGGGCTGATTTTGGTATTTAACACGTTTTTTCGTATATCAGATTCCTACCAGCACCTACACAACAAACATTTACTCTCAATCAAACATTCAGTCGGAGAGCGTCTATGCAAAGAAAACCGATTCTCCGTCTTCTCAAGTGTCGAGTCAACTTGAGTCAACTGTCACCTCTAATGGACGCTATGGAAATGGCAATGAGAGCTCTACCGCTCACGAGCTTCAATTTCCAAGCAACAGTACTGACAGTAGTTCCACTGTTGTCGACGAACACGGTTTCTACCGGAATCCGCCGCTGATTCTCAACTCAACCAATCCCTTTCTCAACTCCTACACTCCCGAAGTGAGCATTTACCAGTCAACCAATACCTCTAGTCAGAACTCATACTCGTCAGTGCAGAGTGAGGGCAACATCTTCTCGGAAGGCTCCATTACGCCGACTAATTGTGAGCTAGTTGGCAATGCTGGGCCCTTTTCCCCTCAAACTGAGCAACCCGCTTCCACTTCTACCAAGTCAAGTAAGCCGCCTCCGGCGCCGCCAGTTCGGCGAACCTCCTCCATTTCCAATCCCAATGCAATTACCATGGGCACTCTGAAGAGTGCTGGAATCAGTCCCAACTACGATGAAGCCGGCAAAAATCTCTCGGTCTACGATGAAATTAACGTCTTGACCAAGTCAATGAATGACATCAACTACACGCTAAAGTACACTGACTTTGCCAACGCAACTACCTCATCGCCCTCAAGCAACTCTCCGCAGGCTACTGTTCATTCCACAGAGGATAGCCGGTACAACACTGATAAGAGTGGGGAATACCACTCGGTGAAGAATGTCTTTGAGAATCACTACATTTCCCCGCCAATGACCACTCGATCCAGCATTGATGAGGACTCCTCTCAGTTGCCCCTTCCTGCGCCTCCGCCCGAGGCCTTCATTGACATGTCGAGCAGTCACCCGGAGCATCATCACTACAATAAGATCACCAATGTTCACCGTGATTTCCTAGAGACCCTTAACTCCAAACTGAGCCAGTCGCCACTGGCAAACCAGAGCTCCAGTTCGCGCTCCTCAAAGAGACGAAACTCCAATCACTCGTCGGACGACTGTGACAGTTCACTATCATCGCATCAAGGTACGTTTACTCATTCTGTCGTTGTTGTATAGATTTCTAAACCTTTTTTACAGGAAAATCACGAAGCTCGACAGCTCGAAGTGCTTCCACTACGCGGACTCTGAGCAGGAAAAATTCATTTGAAAAGAGTGCTTTAATTGGCAATTTCCGTGAAAACTTTATCGACAAGCTGAATCACTCGCTGGTGGCGAAGCACCAGAATGCTGAAATTGCCAAGGCGGCCGCGACGAATGCACTGCAGCGTAAGCAGTCGGTGCCCGATCTCAATGAGCTAAACAATGCCAGTCTGAAGAGTCAAAATCGAGTCACCTTCTCGAGTTCACTAAACCTGAACGCTCCCAGTCAGTCGGGCGGCTTTCAGGTGGTCCAGATACAGACCAACCCGACGCAGCAGCCAATTTACGCTAGTCGAAACCAGTTGAGACGTGAAATTCAGGAGCTTTACGGATCACTGGGCACTGGAATTTATGGCTCCCTTCCCTCGGACAGCTCCTACCTGAATGGATTCTTCAATAAGGTAATTCAGTGTCTCCTTTTCTGTGCCACTACTCAAACTCTAATACACATTCTATCTATTCTCTTCATTACAGCTGTAGCAGACAATGTAGTCGCCTGGCAATCACAAATGCCTTTCAATCACCTTTCAACTAACCAAAAACCCTCCCTCTCCCATCCATCATCGTACATCGACGACGACGACAACCTTGAAACTTCAGTACACTTCTGTTCGTTCACGCAACTTTCCCCTTAACGCAAATATTCCTTTATTTTCATAGATTTTCCTTTATCATTTACTTCCTCCTCCTCCTCCTCCTCATAAAGCGCACCTATTTTCGATAACTTTAACAAAGTAATAGAGCGCCAGATAGAACGGCAGATACAGTTTTCTTTTCTAAACACTATACATTTACAAATGTGTTCTCTTTCGCTCACTCCCTCTCCAAAGTGAGTCTTCAAGTCACTATAGAAAATTCTCTTCTATTGGAGAGATACTGATGATTCCATATAATACTTGTGATGCTATTTTTGTACTCATTTACTCCCCGGAAAGCGTCCTAGTCACATTGGCCGATCGAATCGCGCCCACCCTCTCTCAGTGCACTACCCTCATTTATTTAAAGTTGATGCAAATAAAATGCTCTCGTAGTCCTTCTCTATCCACTTCCTTTTCACTTGCTCATGTTGCGCTCCTGCACCTCTCGGTCGGTGCCGAATTCGTAGTAGTGCGGCGCAATTTCGTACAGCCAATTGGCCTTGATGGCGGTCACCTCGCGCATGTACAGGTTCTGCTGATTCGACTTGGTGGTGTGGATGACCTCGGTGAAGACGACAAACTTGGGCGGCCTCTTCATGGTGAAGAGCACTGAGGTGGGGTGGAGCAGCAGCTGGTGATTGCCGCGCAGCGTCCGGTAGGTGCCGTCCTGGTCCAGCTGGGCTGCGTTGGTGAAGAAGCCCGCAACGAGGCACTTGCGAATGGCGTCCACGTCGTTGGAGGACACCAGGCGGACGTTGAATTTGCGCAGTAAACTCTTCAGCCGATTTCTGATCTCATGTGCTCGAATTAGGCCTTTGTAGTTGAGGTAGTTGCGATCAGACCAGCTTCGAATTTGCGCACTCTTCATGAACTGTCGGTAGATGTTGAGGTAGGTGATGGCGTCTCCCTCTTCCACAGAGAGGTTGTGCTTCGCTCTGCGAGCCTGTATTGCCCTTTGGCCGCCTCCAGGTTGGGAGAATATGTTTTGCACCTGCAGCATGGCGGCAATGGTGAGAATCTCCTCACTGCAGCCAAACTCCTCGGAGACCAGAAGCATCTTAGAGAATGCCGGACTAAGTGGAAACTCGGCCATCTGCAAGCCAAGTGGATCGGTGAGAGCTCCCTCGTCGTCGATAGCCTTCAGTGCGTAGAGTATGTCTAACGCTGAGATGATGTTCCTCTCTGGAGGAGGCGATAAAAAGTCGAACTTGACCACGTTATTCACACCCAGGGCTTTCAGTTGAATGATGACAGAGGCAAGGGCGACGCGCTCAATCTCGGGCGGAGTGAAGTCAATGAGAGAGTTGAATTCCTTTTCTGGGAAAAGTCGAAATGCATAGCCGTGCTTGTTTCGGCCGGCACGACCGGCTCGTTGCTGCGCTGATGCCTTTGAGACGGGAGTTATCACCAGCGAGTCTGTGCCCGTGTTTGGGTTGAAGTAACGCATCTTAACGAAGCCCGCATCGACGACAAATGAAATTCCGTTGATGGTAATCGACGCTTCAGCAATGTTCGTCGCGACGACAACTTTACGGACGCTACGTGGAAATGTTTGAAACACTTTTAGCTGATCATTGGCAGGTAGTGAAGCGTACAGCGGAAGCACAAACAGTTTCTTGTAGTTTGTTGGCGACTCTTCTGCAAAATGAAAACCAATTAGTAAAAGATGCAATAAATGTAATTTTGGTACCTTTTAAACTTCTGGCATATTCAAACAGTTGACTAGTGACCTCCTCTACCTCTTCTTGTCCAGTTAGAAACACTAAAACATCGCCATTGGGAAAGCTTTCGTGAATTTTGATGACCGTCTGGACTGCTTCCTTAAGGTAATTTGCCGTCGGTTGAGAAAGGTAGAAGACGTCCACCGGGAATGTTCGGCCTTCGACGAATAAAACCGTAGCTCGCTCCACAGTCTTTTCATTCACCTGGTTAAAATACTTGCAAATCAAATCACTGTCCAGAGTGGCAGAGGAAATGATCAGCTTCAAATCTGGCCTCTTTCTGATGATCTTCTTCAGCAGTGACATTAAGATGTCGGTGTTGACGCTGCGCTCGTGGACCTCATCGACTATCACCACAGAGTAACTGGTCAGCAGTGGATCGTTCATCATTTCCCGAATGAGAATGCCCTCTGTCATAAACTTGATGTCCGTCTCGGCTTTGTCGTACAGCTCTTCAAAGCGAATTGAATAGCCCACTTGTCTGCCAAGTTCAACGTTCATTTCTTCGCTCACCCGAACTGCAAGGGAAATGGCAGCGATTCTTCGAGGCTCAGTAACCCCGATGATCTGTCTCTGACCACCGGAGACATCATCTCCATCCGCTTTTGCGTCAGCATATCCATATTCGTGAAGAAATTGAGGAAGCTGTGTACTCTTTCCGCAGCCTGTTTCACCAACCACAACAAGCACTTGAAACTTCTCGAGAAGGTATATTATCTGTTCTTTGAACTGTAAAACACAAATAGACAAATTAGTTCCTGACAAGTGATAATTACTGTAGAAACTTACATTAGAGATAGGTAGACGTGCTTTTTGGTGATCGATAGAGAGCGATTTGTTTGGGTTGAAAGCAACCGTTTTGTAGTCGAGATCATTTTCACTTCGTTCTTCATTTAATTGATTCAATTCGTCTGAAAGTACATCAATGTAATGAACTTTTTAATCAATGTTACTCTTATGCTTACTTTTATCAGATTGTGACATGTTCCATTGGATTTGTAAGAGTTTCTAAAAAATTCCGGTTTAAAATCAAAACATTGGTAAAAATAGCCAAAGTCGCCTGTTTTTACTGCACTTGTAAAATTCTGTCCAAAATACAGGATCAAAACCAGATTATCATTCATTTTTCTTTTGTTAAGAATGTCCTTATTCTTGCCTGAGAGTTGAATATTCTATTACCCAATTTTAAAATATTTTAACCTAATAAGTTGTGACAATTAGCATTAGTAAATGGCAAGCACCGGCGCAGTGCATGTACACCGAATAGATATAGAAAACAGCGCTGATTACCAAAATCAGGTCAAATGAGCAATTTTTATTCAATTTGATTAGGGCGTCAAAGAGAAATGTCAGAACTTGAATAAGAGCAGTCCAAATTGAGCTGTGACACGCACCGGTAATTAGAACATCAACCTCACTCGACCACCAGTTGAGACCTAAATCAGGCATTGGGCATTGATTACCTGATGGCCCAATACCTGATTGCCTCCCTCCTTTGCTAATGTAGTGCCAGCAGTAATGTACCCTTGATTAGTGACTGAGTAGTGGTGACAATATGGAGAGATTGCAATCTTTGGTAGCAAAAGTTGTTGCCATCGAAGGTTGACAGATCATCGGCGAACTTCATTTGTGAAGACAGTTGGACAGGTAAGCCGCCGTCCAGTGGCCAACAACCACTGCTGCTACTGCTGATGATGTTTCACTGGCAACGGTGATTGGGCCGCAGGTGTTTTGCCCACTGTCCTCTCGACGGCAACAGCAAATCAGCAGGTCGCTCCAGCGAGGACACTCTCTGCCGCCGTCAGCAGCAGCTGTACCACCAGACCCAAATGGGGGCCCTGCTCTCCAGTTGTCCGGCCAGCTCGTCGTTCCACCTCGCCGACCAGCTAGTGGCCAGCCAGCCATCACCATCACCACCATCACCATCACCCCCGTCATCAACATCATCATCCTCGTCGTCATTACCAACACCAAAGACTGGCTTCCAGTGAGCAGCGGCCACCGAGCGACCCAGTCGATAGCTCGAAAGATGCCGCCGAGGGCACCTGCTCACCCCTTCTTATAATGTTCCAATTTGTCACCAAGTGCTTCTCCATCTCCAAGTGGTGCTCCTCAAGCGGCAACTCATTCTGGTACCGACTCAGCTGTCTCCGCTCTCGGTGTCTCTTCTGGAAGCGACGTTCCCTCAATCTGAGCCGCGGTGATCTCAACTACCAAGTGATCTACCTGGGCAATGTGCCAACCTGTTGGGCCAAAGGTGACCAGTGCATCGAGACGCCCCTGAACCTTCTCTGGCGCAACTACCAGCGGAAGAAGGGCAAAAAGGCGCTGACCAAGATGAAGCTGACCATATGCAACTCCGGCATGCAAGTGAGCACCCGTGAACTGGGCCAGGTGGAGTACTGGCACAACCGAATCTCCTACGTGACCAATCTCACCTCACATCCTCGCGTCTTTCTCTGGGTGTACCGGCACGTGGGGAAACGTGGCAAGCCCGAACTGCGCTGTCACGCTGTGCTCTGCAAGAAGTCAAAACACGCTCAGCAGCTCGCCGACGAGCTTCGAGTTCGCCTGTACAATGCCCTGCGCGAGTTTCGCCGCGAGTTGAATCTGCGTCAGAATACTCAAAACAACCTCCTGCCGGCGAGGATGAAGTTTCTAGTCAAGGGCGCCCAGTACTTCAAGCAGCCGCTGGAGCGCTCGCAGAGTGCCCCCAAGCTGGACTCGATCGTCGAGGAGGAGGACGAGGAGGAGGATGAGTCGTACAGTAACATGCAACACTCGCTCTACTTTGTCTCCACCGGACAGCTCAACTTCTGAACTTGTCTTCTCTGTGACCAAAGACTTTCTCCCACTACAACCACCGTCGCCCCACCTGACCATGTACATAATTCTTTACTGTATACATTTTTCCTCAATCTATTTTATAGATTTTTTGTACACCTTTTTTCCCACTGCTCCGTCTCTGGTTGAGTGCGAAGCAAATAAATAGACACTCGATTCAGGGCTATCAACAGAATTAGCAGCAGAAGAAACTCGATTTGGCGTCACAGAGGCGAATCGAGTCCGGCTCTCTCTCTCTCCTTTCTTTTCCTTTCCTTTCCTTCTGTCTGGCGCCGTTGTGTTCCTCTGTTCTTAGAGGCAAACCTGTTCCCGCGCGCCACCACCATCACCACCACCACCGTCACCATGTATTCCGTGACAATCCCGACCGCCGTCCGTTCAGCAGCAGCAGCACATGCTCTATAAACACCTGGCCTGGCCTCGCGCGCGGTTCTATCGTTCTATCCTCTCTCCTTCTTCTTCTTCTTTGTTGAACTCTACTCGCCGACCGAGCTTCAGGAGGGGAGAGAAGAGCCACCGAGCTCCCAATCTCATCTTGTCTCGGCGGGCGCTACGCTTTTGTGTCATTGGGATACGCACAATGAATGGGGGGCATGAATGGAGAAGGAGAGAGATGGATGTGCTCACGACTGATGAAACTCGTTTACGGCACAGGGCACATTCAAGTTAAAGGGGCAACGATGTTGCTCGGGGAACTTTGCACCTAACAACGGCGGCATATTGGACAGATGGCAGCAAACTGTGTCTGTCTGAGTGCGGCGGAAATTGGCCTCCCCTCTCCTCTTACCTCCCGCGTCTCAGAGACGTGTTCCGTTGAAGGAGGAGGAGGAGGAGAAAGGAAGGCGACACTTGCGGCTACTTCTGCTGCTGTTGTTTCTGTTTCTGTTAGGTGGCCTTTGCCTGAAGGCCTCTGAGTCAGTGAGACCCGGTGCTTGCCCAGTGACGGAAGAGGCCGGTGAGCACCGAATGCTCACTCTGTCAGCGGCTAAGAGAGAGAGAGGAGAGGGGCAGATAGAGAATTCGAGAAAGCCGCGTAAAGCCTCCGGTCGGTCTGCGCAGTCTCCACTCGGCGAGAGGGCACTGCAGTCGCGCACTGCACAGAAATAGGAGAAAGAGAGAGACTCGCGCGCGCTCAGGCTCACTCTGTCGTTGGACCTCGCTCGCTTCACATCGCCGCTCGCGCCTCGCTCTCTCCGCTCCTCACATTGTGTTTAGCGTTACCGGCTTCTTTCTCTCTCGCGCACTCGTCTCGACTTGCTCCTCTCGCTCTTTGTTCTTCAGCTCGCCAAGCTTTTAAACTTCAAAATGCCAGGCACTCAAGTCGCGTATGTGTTTCAGCTCGCCGGTTTTTCGCCGTTTCCTTGTCAATAACTTGTCTTTTCTCATTTCTACAGTACTCCCGAGGTTGAGACCGAGGTTGTCAACAAGGAGGTCGTTTCGCCGATCAAGGTAACTATGATTTTGAAACGAGCGCCGGCATTGTTTGACAGTCGTCTTTTACTTTGCAGAAATCCGTCGTCGAAGAAGCCGAACAGGCTGTGACTGAGACCGGAGACATCCTGACCGACGAGAAAGTCGTCGAAAAGGTTGTCGAAAAGGCCGAAGCTGAAAGCGCCACCACCGACGAAGAACCAAAGGAAGAGAACGGCAAGGCTGCTGCTCCCGTCGATGAAGAGGAAGAGTCTCAGGACTCGCAGAATGGCGATTCCGAAGAGTCATCTGTGACCAACGGTTCAGCTAAGGAGGCCGTCGAGGAGGAGTCCAACGAAGTTGAGGAGACCGAAGTGGAGAGCTCCAAGAGGAAGTCGATCACAGAAGAGGAGCCGGAGGTGTCTCCCAAGAAGCAAAAGACCGACTCAGAGGCCCAGCCTGCTGAAGAGAACGCTGAGGAAAGCGTCACCACCTCTGTCTAGAGCGCGCGCACCCGCTCCAACTTGTTCACAACTCTACTCGTCGAGCAGTCCCCCTCCCACTCTCGTACGATGGTATTATTTTCAAACATTCTATTTCCCACACCTTCATTCATCGCAGCAATTATTATTTTCTTTTCTTCCTTTCGTTTAAGAATCTAAATTAACCAAATAAAAATCATTTTTTATTTTTGTATTTTTTGTTTGTAAACGTTCTCCTTCCTGCTCTCTCCTATGTTTGTTCATTACTTGTGGCAATATAATCCTCCAATAAATGATCAAATGAAACCATATGACTGCTGTTAGAATGAAAGCTGACCGGCGGCGGCACTGCAGCCAGCATGCGTCAGGCGGTACAGCTCGGCCTCGATGTTGGCCAGCATCGAGCTGGCTCCCAGGCGAAAGAGGCCACTGTGGAGCCACTCGGGGCCCAGCTGAGTTCGCATCAGCGTCACCCAGTAGAGGGCATCGAGGCCGTCCTTCAGCCCGCCGGCCGGCTTCAGGCCAACGCGGATGCCCGTCTTCAGGTAGAAGTCACGAATGGCCCGCGTCATGACCAGGCCGTAAACCAGTTTGGCGTTCAGTGACTCCTTTCCGGTGCTGGTCTTCACAAAGTGCGCGCCAGCCCACATGGCCACACTTGCAGACTAAGGCGGGGGAGAAACAAAGTGATGATGATGCAATGTCACACTACTCGTCGAGCTTTGCGTACCTTGTAGATGTTCTCCAGCGAGGCCAGCTCGCCGGTGCTGAGGATCACCTTGAGGTGGGCCTTTCGCACGTTGCACAAGTCGGCGACGCTCTTGATGTCATCGTACAGCTGCTTCCAGTGGCCATTCAAGGCCAAAGTTCGATTGATGACAATGTCAATTTCGGTGGCGCCTGAACCAATGGCAAAGTTGATCTCCTCGAGGGTGCAGCTCAGGCGGCCCTGGCCGGCGGGAAAACCGGCAACGACGGTGGCAATGGGCAGCTCCGCTGAGCCCAGTGCCTCGATGTACTGTTTACACTCGGCGGCTCGAGTCGGGTAGACGCACACCGCTCCGGTGGTGATCGGTGATTCTTCGGTCGTCCCACGTGCCACTGCATATTCCTTCAGCTTCTCCACAATCGGTGCACTGAGCGGGTTCAGCGCTCGCCAGCACAGTCGGCCAACATTGCAGGCGCTGTCATCGCCGGCGAGGGTGGTCAAGTCGATGCAGCTGACGGCGAGCACCAGGTCGGAGATCTGCGGGGAGGGGAAGAAGAGGATGATGAGCTTCCAGGTGCTCTACAAAAAGTGCCACTCGATAGTCGGTGGAAGCATCATCGATGTCACAGACATACTTTGCCTTGATCATCGCATGCCAGAGCAATCGCCTGTATTTGTTTTGCCTTCTGCTTGATGGCCGCCGCGTTCAGGCGCACATTGAGTAGAGCAGCATCTGCAGCATGGAAACAACGTGTTAAGCGGAGAGAGAGAAGACATCCTCATCATCGTCGTCATCATCATTTGGTGGATGGCATCTGCTCTGAGAATACCACACTATGTTAATTCCTCCTTCAGGCTTACCGAAATCCATGGTCACTGGCGGAGTGTTCAACAGTGTGCAGCAGTTTGTGCTCCTTCTCTGAATGCTCCAGCTGCGAATGACTGCTCACCGAGTCACCTACTCACCCTGCGACCTCTCTGCCTGCCAGTTTGCTATTGACGATAAGATTTCAGCGGCTGAAGATCTCAAAGACACAGCAGCTGATGAACCAGAAGCAGACAATACCCTCTGCTCATCGTTCACGATGATAAGACTACCGTTTATTCAAGTATCTCCCCATCGGCACTGCTTCTATCATCCTCTTCATGATATCATCATCATCGATTCGCCCTGCCTCGCTTTCTACTGCGACCGTTTTTATTATATTAGTCAGTGATGATGATATACTTTCTCATCGATGGCAACTGGTTACAATTGAGTGAGAGTGTGCAGAGTTGTGTGCAGTACATGCATGCTGTGTGAGTGTGTGTTTTACCATCCAGTGGTGAACCATCCATATCAGTGCGCAGCTTTGACAATCCTCCTCCTCCTCTTCTACCTCTACACTCTGAGCACTGCCATCCCTCCACTTCAGTACAAAGTCCACCGGCGCTCAAATATCTGCGTTTATGTTGTGGTGATTGTGCTCCCGTGCAACACAACACTAATCAGTGGAGACGTTGTTCTGGTCGAGAATCTTAACCACTTGCTGCTTAATCAGTCTGGTCACGTCAAATGGATTCTGCAGGTAGATGCTGTCCTTGGCAATCAGCACTGACTCGTTGTCCTGACCAGCGTGACCGTACTTGAAGGTAATTATCTCGGGGTGCTTCCGTTTGGAGGTTATTTGGACGATCATCTCCAGCGGCCTCTGCACCGATATAGTCCCGTGGTCTTTCTTGCTTTTAGAGTCCTTGATGATGTACAGGTGGGTGTCGGTTAGCGCCAGGTAACTATGTAAGTAAGCAAGGAATTGGTAAATTGAGCAAGTTGAGCTAGAGCGCAACATACCCTGGCGTTTGTTGCGTTCCATCGGCGCTGATCTCGCAGCACTCAAAGAAGCCGATTGGATTCATTTGCTTCTTCCACTCTTCAAGGTTCAGTTCGTGTTTATTCTCATAGGCAACATCAGGATCTTCTTCTGTCGATCAATAAGTGTAAGTACTTGAATTACTCTACTGTAAATCTAATCACTACTTACCGAAATCCGCCGGTTGATCGTCCAGACTGAACTTGCTGCCCTTGTAGCGCTTTCCAATTTTGTCCGCTGAGCTGACGTGCTTCACCACCGGCTTCTGGTTCGGATTGACCACGTAGTCGACAATCTTCTCCTTCATATTGGCGAACATCTTGGGCTTGACGACGGTGGAGAGCTTCTGGAGGAAGGCCGAAGTGGACTGCTCGCCGCCCTCTTTGGCCTTCTTCGCGTCGTGGGCGCCGCCGTCGCCGTTGAGGGCACTGTTGGCTGTACAGGAAAGGCACATCTTCTTGCAGTGGTCTACCAGGAACTGCTCGCACTGCTGCTCCACGATGAACTTGTGCAGCGACTGGTAGCCTCCGTGGAGCAGACTGACGTACCGGTGGTGCTTCTGCAGAAATGACGAGACCACCATGTGCACGTAGCAGTCCTCCTCCTCGCGACCGCTGCCCATGAAGCACAAGTGCTCACCGGCAGCCACTGATTTCGCGTCAATTGCCTGCTTCTGCGAGGCCAGCAGTGCCTGCACTGCCGTGGTAAAGGCCGAAGGGTCGTTCAGCATCTAAACAGTGTCAGAGGAAGAAAGTCATTACAAGCCCAGCGTCTCAAGACTACGTACCAGACTGCAGTCGAGGTGGAATGCAGTGGAAAGGTGGCCATTGTTGTACTGATCTGGCGGACGACAGTCCACCACAAAGTAGTGCAGAGTGGCGCCTTTATCGCAGCTGGCAATTAGTTCGTTCACCGACACGGGAAGACAGAGTAAGTTTGACAGGTCCTTTAGGTAATACAGGTCGGAATGTACATCAGCGCGCGAAAATACTTGGAAAAGTAAACTTTGAAAGTCCTGAAGATAAAGCACAGGGTAAGAACGTTAATTGCTGTACATTTTCACCTGCAAAACTCACCTGAACTGAATTGGGCGTTTTGCCTTGAAAGTGCTGGTCGGCTATGTAGAACATGTCCTTAATGTCTGACTCGGAGAGAGAGGACGGAATGACACTTAGTGTCGAGATGATCTCCTCCTTATTTGTCTTTTTCATCAATTCATCTCTGTATGAGGGGGGAAATGACGCTCAATTAGTCCGAAGTTGAATGGAAGAAAAAAGATTTACGTACTTGAGATTAATTATCATGGCCAGTGAAATGTAAAATATCAAAAAGGGGTTAGCGTAGGTGAGGTAGCTGTCCAGGAGGACCAGCGAAACGCTGTCGTCACACAGTGAACAGAAGAGGCTTCGAAACTGTTTATGTTGAAAGGTAAACAAAGTGTAAGTGACAGTTTTGTAAATGAGAGAAAGTTGACAGTGTCATACCCAGGTAGAGGCATAGTGTTCTGGCGTCAGCTTAAGGGAGTCAAAGAAATTGCACAGCTCAGGATCATGGTAGAGTAGTAGAAGACGGAGAAGGTGAAACGGTTGCAGGTAGAGCAGGGGCGATTCCTCCGAGTTGACATTGTAAAAGCGATTCACGTAGCGTAGTTGAATACTTTCGAAAATCTTAAACAGCTCGTCTCTTTTGGCATTCAGGTGGATCAAGGTGCCCAGCAGCTCAAGCCACCCATTCGAGGCGTCATATGGACAGTTGTAGAGACGAGAAAAGTTGGTGATGATAGACTCGAGATCGGAGACGATGGAAAGTTTTTCAGACGGGGAGTTGTCCAACTTGTCGACTAGTTTATTGCAGTCTTGGCGAATTAAGTTTTGCTGCGGCAAGTCGAATATGTCCTCCAACACCTTAACGCGCCCTTTGATGCCGAGGCACACTTGCCAGTACTCGTACCGCAGCGGATGTGGAATAGGAATGGATTTTTGATTAGAAATTTTTCGAATCACATTTATATCACAATCTGACAGGAGGGCAGTTTCAAGTTCGAGGATCCTAGAAGGGGCAAAGCGAAGATTTGTTTACTTTTGGGCGGTGCCACCTATTTGGAAAGAGTACAGTGACACATACCAGCCATCGTCATCATTTGGATCATCTTCGAGCAGGTGATCAATCGTCTTCTCGTCCTCTTCGCTCATCATTGGCGAATTGGCTCTTCAGTGTGTCCGCAGAAAGCACCAAGTGAGTTTGGTGGTGGTGGTGATCGAGGTAATCAGTGGCAGCAAAACTGATGGTGGTGGTGATACATTGTAGTGCAGTGTGGTGATAGCAGTAAACTGTATACTTACTGTTATACAAACAGAAGCAGACACATGCAATGCAGTTGTGGTGATCCAAGTGAGTTGTCATGTAGAAGATAGCCAACAGTGGTTTTGCCGGCGGATTTGCACCTTAACTTTTACTTTCGATAGTTCTCCTCAATTTTGCAGTGAAGAGCACTGGCGAAGGGCGAAAGTTTTATGTGGACTTTCCCGGTGATGTGAAAAGTCGATTCAGTTTTTACTTGGGACGGCTATATTTATTTGGCTTGTGAAAATAGGTACTGGTGCCAGCAAAACATTCGGTTTCAGTCCAGTTACAGCCGCGGCTGCTGGATCATCTTCTTCATCTTCTCTGGTGCTTATTTGGTGTGTCTCTCTGGCTCTCTCTGTCCCTTTACCGGCGCCGCCAAGCCTTCGTTTCCAGGAGGACGTTATCACTGTGCGTCAATATTGATCGCCCCAACTATGCCGCTTCGATGGAACAAGTACTCTAGATTCGCTCAATCACCCTAAAGTAAATATGACGGTCTGACTTGTTTGCTCTTTTACGTTTTATTTACCGTTTCCACCTACGTTACAGGAGCACAGACCTTTTTTGTTGTTGCCAAGACATTGTTGAACTCCTCAAGATGTTTAGCTTAATAAGTCCGTTATCTGATGTGCTGGCGCCGCGAATGTCGCCACTGGAGGAGTTTATCTGCCAGTGGGAGTCATTCAGCGGCTTCTTCAGCGAAGAGCAAAACAAAAACAGACAACTTTGCCAGTGTCGAATCGAAACGACGAACCTCTCCAGCAAGCTGTCTGAGATGTTGAATATTCTCATCGAGGAGCAGGCAGCCTTTACCAGTGCGAAAAAGGATGCAACGGAAATTTGTCCAACATTAGAGTTTGTCCTGCAAAACAAAATTCTCGACACCTTAGCGTCGATTGCGCAAGCAGACAGTCCACTGGGCATTTCACCCCGACTGCTGCTCTTCTTCACCAAACTCATTACCGACTCCAAAACAACCGGTCTAATACCTCTCATCTCACAGCCGCTCAACAAGCTGATCTATATATGCGGTAAAACTTATGCAGGACCTTATGAATCCAACGAAATGACCTTTCTCGACAGTTTAACCGACAAGATTTACCGAAACCCAGATTGCCTCAACTTTTTCCTTCACGACTCTTTTCCGCTGATCAACGCCTTGTTAGCTCTACTCCTCAGTCCCGATTCCGAAATCGGTAGAAAAGCCGGTGAAGCTATCATCAAGCTGATCAGTCTGAACAATGTCATTGCCGATAAGGTGATTTGTGAGCAGACGGCATTTTGTGGCAAAATTATTGAGCAAATAATCAGCTCTTACAATGTGATACCTCGATCACTGAACCCCAAAGAGGTGGAAGCTGCTATCTACACGTTTCGAAGTGACTCCGTATCTCACTCTACCTTCACCAGCTCTATGCGCAAGTTTCTCTGCTTTCTAAAGTGGTTCACCATATTCGACATGCTCATCTACCATTCCGGCAATACGACACTAGTCAAGACGATGCTAAGTCAGTTTAGACTCGAGTTTCTCGAGTCCTGTATTCTTCCCGACCTCACCGGCGATGGCTTTACTGATGAAACAGATGCCATTGACAATGTCTTTCTCACCACAGTCTTGCTCAGTAATTGCCTTCGAAACACGGAAAGCTACGTTCTGTTCAACTTGATTTCCGAGTTTTTAACCATTTCTGATAAGGTGGACGTCAACATTCCAAGTCGTCTCAAAAACTACACTCTTCTTCCAATGCTTTTGAAGCGATGCAATCTCTCTGCTCAGAACTTGTGTGATGACGAACAGGAACGCAGCAAGTCAATCAAACTAGCCGGTGTCACTCTTCAGCTCTTTGAAGACATTCTCCTGCGACCTTCTCGCAATGTAATGAACTTTCTCGTCATTGATCACCTTCGTAAGAAAGACTACCTTGACTTGACAAGAAGTGACGAAAATGAGGACAGTTTTGAGCCTTTTTTAGATAAGTTTGTCGTTCCAGACGTTCTTGATCATTTGAACTCCGTGGCAAATGAAACTTCCAAACACATAAACGTATTGGCAGCGCCAACCGTAGTATTAGCAAAACAGAATGCAATGATCTACTACTTCTCCTCGTTAATTCCCACCGAGCTGAAGTTTAACCGTGAAAATGAGAGCAGCGATTATGTGGCATACCTGAAGGAAGCTATAAAAGGAGTGAACATCTTTTTGATATCATGCTACGCACACTGGAGTACGGATCAGAACGAAGAGGACTCCTCAGTACAGCCATCAAACAACTTGCTGGATGAAGCAGCTCCCAGCTGCAGTGAAGGTCCATTTTTGCGGATGATATTTGATAATCTCAGCTCAATGCTTTCTCTTCCATATGAAATAAACATACAGGTACGTCAAGTGATAGATGTGATGCTAATGACCAAATGCTAATCCTCTTTCTTCTTACAGATATTTTCTTTGATTGCCAAGCTGTCGCTAATCCCCGATGAACACGTTAATGAGTACCTCCTTGATCCAACGACCCCCTTGAACTCATCAAGTCGAAGTCTGTTTTCTGTTCTGTGCAAACTAGTGGAGGAGCTTCAGATTGCAGTTCAAGGAATAACGAATCTGGGGAAAAGATTTGTCGCCACAAAGAAGTCACTTCTGGGCGAAAGTCTAACCGAGGAAGAGCGATTGCTCTGCGAAGAACATGACGCCCAGAAAATTGGCGTCATTTTACAGAGTCTGATTGTTGTCGATGAGTTTTGCAAAGAGGTCATCTGCATTATCTTTGCAAAAAACAAAGTTCTTCAACTGTGCAAGGGACATGTGCAATCATTATAACCATTTTTCGTTGAATAAAAAAACATGAAATTTAATGTGTCATGAGTTCTGGTGGATGATAAAAATAGAAATGTAGTTACTAGCACGCAACTATAAAACCAGATCAATGCTGTCTACTCGTCCCGAGTCTATGCTTTGCTTCAGCTAGGAACGTTTGTACAGCCACTGATGTGGACCGCTCATTTTGGCCGGTGATCACAAATCGGTCCACCTCAACATGGCCTTCGCCCTCCAACATTTCATTGCAGCAAGTAAAGATGCCTGTTAAAATGGAAGCGATTAGTTAGCGAAAACTTTTATAAGCTACAAGAAGCTTACCTCCACGTTCTTTTATCACATCTTCGGGTAAAAAGTTGAGCTTGTCAAAGTCAGGATGGCGAGTCAGCTCGAAAACGGTACTCGCGGTCATTTTGAATCGCCGAAAACACCATACTTTGGCCTTTTCAAATGCGGGAAACAGCGAAACGACACCCATGCCTATGGCACAAATTAGTTCTGTCGGTGGGAAAACAGTGATTAAAAGATCTGGTTTAAGTAAGATAAGCTTACTTTGATTATGAAAAAAGTGCAGCACTATTCGTGCCATGGTAGGGTCTTCGGCCAAGTCGAGCACTGCCCCGGGTGAATGTGGTATTACCAAGGTGGAGTACTTTTCAGCTGCAGAGAGAAAAAGAAACGAAAGATGACATACTGTGATCAGGCAACGGTTATCACAAAACAGCTTACGGTCAATATGGTTTAGATTGTGGAGATTGAGGCAAACTTTTGCCGTCATTTCGTTGACGAAAGCTCTTGATTGTGAATCACAGTTCTTAAAGAATATTGGTGAGCCGGCCTGGAGCACGAAAGTACCCATAAATCTTAGATCCATAAATCCTCACTGTAAGCGAACAACTTACATTTGGCGTGGCAATTTGAACATCAAACTCAGCTAGAAGTAGTTTGAATGTTTCGACAAATGACCCAAAAGCGTTCCCTGAACAAAAAATGGATTTTTAGAGCACTAAAATCATTGAATGGTATGCCACAAAAGTTACCCAATTTTGAGGCGCTGAGAACCAGTAAGCAAGCCGGTTTGCCTTCATTTGATGATGGCACTCTTTGCTGATCCATTTCCAATTTTCATTAAATGAAAGTACCGTCTAGGAACAACAAGTTGTCAAGTTGAAACCCGCAGAGAGCTGGTAAAAAGTTGAGTATTCTAGAGAAGCTTTGTAGATTACAAAGTTAGGAACTGCTACATTGAGAGGCCTTAGTCCAGGTCTGCATTGGCCGGTCAGTGGGGAGCCGCCAGACAGCCACACGTTGAAGAAAACAACGCTTCCGTGTTGATCTACTTGCGAATGAGTCTTTTGTTGTTGGTAGAGCTGAAGACATTCCAGTGACAGTACTGAAACGTAATCTTGCTCGAAGTGCATTGTGAAAATAGCTACAGAGCGAGTAGACTGCCGCCTCGACAGGTGTCAGCGGTGGGCAGCCGTTTCGCTGAAAAGTCCGCCGGCCAGAGCGCACGTCTCGTACTTAGGAAATCACATGCGGTCTTTCTGTCTGTTTAGCTTGGTCACCCTTTTTGCTCGTGCGGCTCGTGCAGCTCGTGTATCCCATCTTGGGCTTTCCATCCTTCAAACCACACCAACGCCACCGCCTCCATCACCACCACCCCCATCACCAGCTAAATCATGAGTGAAGGCGACGTCAGCACGGTCCCCGCGGAGACGGTCAACAACAGCAGCAGCAACAATGGCAAGTCCCTCGATGATGATCCCCGATCGGCGGAGGAGCTGAAGAGCCAGGCGAATGAGCACTTTCGCAAGAAGGAGTACGAGGACGCCATTCAGCTGTACACTAAAGCCATAGACAAGGACCCGAAGAATCATATTCTCTATGGCAATCGCAGCTTTGCTTACCTCAAAACCGAGTGCTTCGGCTATGCTTACCTCGACGCTTCCTATGCAATTGAGCTGGATAAAAAGTACATCAAAGGCTACTACCGGCGAGCGGCGGCTCAAATGGCCAATGGCAAGTTCAAAGAGGCGCTGAAGGACTTTGAAACCGTCACAAAGTTCTGTCCTCGAGACCAGGATGCGAAAGCCAAGTACACTGAGTGCAAGAAGATTGTCAGTCAGAAGGCCTTTGAAAAGGCCATTTCGGTAGACACTGTCAAAAAGTCTGTTGCTGAATCGATCGACTTTGATAGCATGACCATTGATGACAGTTACGATGGACCAAAAATGGTGGACGGAAAGGTGACACTTGAGTTTATGCAGCAACTGATTGAAACGTTCAAAAATGAAAAGCCTCTTCACCGCAAGTACGCCTACAAAATCGTCCTCGACTGTCGCGAGATATTTTCAAAGTCACCCACCCTGGTTGATATCACCATCCCTGATGACAAGAAGTTCACTGTGTGTGGCGATATTCATGGCCAGTTCTACGATCTGCTGAACATCTTCAAACTGAATGGCCTTCCAAGCGAGGAGAATCCGTATCTCTTCAACGGCGACGTCGTCGATCGAGGCTCCTTTTCAGTGGAGTGTATCTTGGTGCTCTTCGGTTTTAAATTACTGTATCCGAATCACTTGTTCATCGCTCGCGGAAACCATGAATCCGAAACAATGAACAAAATATTTGGCTTTGAAGGTGAAGTGAAGAACAAGTTTTCTCAGCAAATGTACGACCTCTTTGCCGAGGTGTTCGAGTACCTACCTCTTGCCCACTGTCTCAACGACAAGGTCCTGGTCATGCACGGTGGCCTCTTCAACAAGGACAACGTCACACTGGAGCAGATTCGTCAGATTGATCGCGTTCGTCAGCCTCCGGAAGAAGGTCTGATGTGTGATATCCTCTGGTCTGACCCGATGGCCAATACTGGTCGGTCGCCCAGCAAACGAGGCGTCGGCGTGCAATTTGGACCGGATGTTACGGAAAATTTTCTGAAGACTAACAAGCTGGACTATATCATTCGCAGTCACGAGGTGAAGGAAACTGGATACGAAATTGTAAGTCTGATCGGTATTTGGAGAGTGTATCTTTTAGTCTTTTCTAATCATTCATTGTTTATGACTCACCACAGGCTCACGATGGAAAGTGCATCACCGTCTTCTCTGCGCCCAACTACTGCGACCAAATGGGCAACCTTGGCGCCTTCATCAACTTCAAAGGCGGCGACCTGAAGCCGCAATTCACCTCCTTCAAAGAAGTGCCTCATCCCGACAAGAAGCCCATGTGCTACTCAAGCAATCTGTTCAACTTTGCGTAAATCCATCCCCGCCTGCCTGCCTGCCTCTACCCATTGCATGAAGAGCAACCATTTAGATTCAAATTATTATTTTTGTGATATTTTTTTTAAAGTTTTATTCTCATTTAAAAAATTGTCGGTTGATTTATACACAATTTCTCTACTACCAATGAAATTGAATATTAAATTTGTACCAGTTTTGACATCACGTTTGTTCACTTTCTTCGGAAATCATCATCACCACCACCAGAGGACACGTCGCTGAGTGAAGTGGTGAGTGCTCCCTTGTCGGTCACAGGAGAAGGAGGGGAGGGGGAAAGTGGCTGGCATTAATCGAATTTGAGGCAACAGCTTTCAATAGTAGCAACAACAACAAGGACATCAACAACAACAACATTATCATCTCCATCATCACTTCCTTCCGCCGCCGCTGTGCTGCAGCAGCGACAGTTCAGCGAAACAAACCACCGAGAGAGCGTTTGGCCGAGTGCGTTTGTGTATGTCAGAGAGCGGGGCAGGCTACAGAGCAAGAAGGAGAGGCATTATACATTTTCGAATTGGACGCATATAAAAATACAGGTAATAAATAGCAGGTAAAAGTTAAAGAAAGAGAAAGAAAGAAAAAGAGTATACACAAAGAAGGGGTGGGGTGAACAGAGTGTCGCAGTGAGGCAGAGATGCAATCGAGGAGGATTTACAAGTCGTGCGAATGTAAGAAGAAGAAGCGTAATAATAATACAAGACAAGATAAAATAATACAATAATACAATAATAATAATAAAAACAACAATGGAGGCAATAAAAAGGTATCACAGCGACAAGGTACGATCTGCTGGTGGAATGGTAGAGTGCTGTCAACTGTCAACTGGAATGCTTGGACCTGTGCGGGTGGGTGTGTTTGGGTGTGTATGGATGAAGATGGCTGTAGAATATTGTGCAGGCAGTCGGGTGAAAAAGGTGTGGTAGGTGCTCCTCTTGTGATGCTATGGTGATGGCTCGTATCAGCAAATGCTACAACAGCCCTTCTTCTCCTCCTCGCCGATCAACTCACTGGCAGTGCCGCGAAACTTTTTCTTATGATTACTCGGAGAGGGCGGTGACTCGAAGAGTGCAGACGGTGCTTTGCTGTGGTTGTGGCCGCCCTTGCTCAGAGACGGCGGTGGTGGTGCCTGCTGTGCAGAGACGTGCTGGTGCTGGTACTCAATGGCACGGGCATTGTTTCCCGACTTGTTGCTGCTGATGCTGCTCACCTGCTGCTGCAACACCGGCGGCGGCTCCATCGGCGGTGGCTGCTTAGTGGTGACTATCCGCCCATCGTAGGCATTGCCCAGACTGGTTCGGTGCTTCTCCGAGCGTTGCTTCTTGAGATCGTTCAGTGTCCCCGCACTGTTCGGCCCATTGTTGTTGTAGGCGTTGGCAGTGGAGGACGGAGTGCCGTTGCTGTTGTTGTTGCTGCTGCTGTTGTTGGCGTTTGTATTCACAGTGACGTGAATCTCTACCTTCACAGAGTCGCCATTCGGTTCAGCAGTGATCTGGCTGCCACCACCACCACCACCACCACTTGGTCCATTACGGACGCCGTTCTCTCCGGGAAAGTTGCGCTCCTGGTACTCGTTGTAGTAGTTGGTGTAGTAGGAGCTCTCCACGCTCTGACTGCTGGTCTTCTTGGTCGCCTTGTGCACGCTGACGGGCACTGCATTCTGCAGCGGGTGACCCGAGTCCACTGACCGCTCGTTGTAGCCGGTCGTCTTGTGATTGTTTTGCACTGCTGAGCTCGAGTATGATTGCTGCTGGTGTTGCAAAGATGACTGGTGGGCAGAAAATTGTTGCTCCGAAGAAGAGGGGTTGTCCACTTTAATGTCAATGTTGTGCAGGTCGATTGGCGGAGAGTCAGAGGGTGCTGCGGCTTTTCGGCTGTAGTCCTGGTAGAAAACCTCTCCATTGTCCACCTCGTCCTCCTTTCTGGTGTCCTCGTCTTCGTGTGACTTTTCGTGCCATATGCGAGCCTCTTCAATTGCCTCCCGTTTGGCGATTTGCGACTTTTCCCGAATACTGGTTCTCCGAATAGAATGGGACCGGGTGTTCTGACTGTGCGAACGTCTTAATCGATTTGAACTGACATGTCGCTTAGACTCAATCTCATTCCGTAGCTGAAGTATCCGACTTTTCAACTCCGGATCTTCACAAATGTCAAAAGGCGTCTCGCCGTTTTTCGTTTTAGCGTCCAGGTCAGCACCGCTTTGCACCAGAAGCTCAATCACGTCAATCTAAAGTGTTGAAAAGGGTAAAACATTAGCTGAAACAGTCCTTGACCACGCTGAAGTGACTTACATGGCCCCAACAGGCAGCAGCGTGAATCGGCTAAAAAGAAAACCAGCGTTAAAATGAAAACAAATTCCACCTTTTAAAACTTGAGTTTACCTGCCAAAAGTCATCGTCACACTCTTCCGTGGAGGCATTGTGGTCTAGTAGAAACTCCACCACACTCATGTACCCATTAGAAGCGGCAATGTGAAGCTAAACGTTGAGAAAAAAACAGTAGAATGAAAACCACAACACATCTCTAGGAAAAAGACAAAAAACATACCGGTGTAGCCCCTTGTTCGTCTTTGAAGTTGAGATCATAGCCATTTGTCACTAGCACTCGCATGTCGTTAAGCATTTGATTTTCAGTCATTGCACGCGTTTCGTCAATTAGCTCCTGGGTGATGCCACGCTTCGCCATCTCCGATTCGATGTAATCTAACGTCTGCTCGTCTTCAGAGATGTCGTAGGCCATGTTGAGGTCGGCATTAACGGCTAACAGGTCAGCTCCTCTGTGCAGCAAAAAAAGGTTTTATTAGCATTGAATTCAAAAAAGTGAAAACCAAAACTCTTACCGTTCTATCAGAATTTTAATCAGGTGCAAGTGACCACAGGTGGCAGCGGCGTGAAGAGGCGTCCACTGCTCGCTGTCCTTTGCATTTACATTGGCGCCAAATTCAATCAGTAAAAGCATCATTTCTTCGCAATTATCAATACAGCACTGAGTGGAGACAAAAGCAATCAGTGATTAGAAAGGGCAAAGCAGTTGTGAGGCGGTATAAAAACCTGGTGCAGAGCGGTGAGACCATCTTCGTTGGTTGAATCAGGACTGACTCCGAGCATAAGTAATCGCTTGACTGTAAATAGAGCAAAAACAACAAACAAATGTAAACAAGCAAGTTACTAGGTCAAAAGAAAATGCAAATCAAGGCACCTTCTTCGACGTCATTGCGAGTGGCCGCCTCGAGGAGCATCACCGATCCAACAAAATGCACTTTGTAGGACAACTTTTTGCGATTCATATTTGAGTCGCCTTCATCTTGTTTTTTGCGCTTGTTTATTCCGTATTCTTTCTCTCGTTGAGACCACTTCTTCAGCTGTTGTTGCCGTCTTTTCCTCGCCAGTTTTAGCCTCTCTTCGGTGTTTAACTTTTCCAGAAAAGGCATTTCTGAAATTAGGTCTGAGTGTTCCGCCATTTTGCTGGATCAATAACAATAATAGGTGTTGGTTAGCTTAATTGGTTTTTATTACTACTAGCTGCTGATGGAAAGAATCGGTCTGGTGGTACCTGATTGGATGGAATGGTGGCGGCGTCGATGAAAGTAGTTATAAAAGAAGTGTATCGGAGTGTCGATTGAAGCTCGTCGTTGTTTATGTTATGTAGTAGTGAAATCACAATATGCACAACCTCGGCTTGGGGCTTGGTAGTACTGCTACTGTGTACAATCATGTGTCAAAATATATCTTTTGCAGGCCATCAAAACAAACAGTGGAAGAGAAAACATATGATGGAAAACCGATAAATAAAATGTGATGATCAACCGAACAAGCCTGGTGCCGAGTCTGGTGGGCGATGAGTGGCAAAGAGGATGGTGAAGTAGTGCAGTGGGAATCGGTAGAGTGGTCGACGATGAAGAGGGCACGGGTAAGGTGGCGGTTGTGGTGGTGGTGATGAAGCACTGGAAACGTGGAGGCGAATTGATGAGAGAAGTCTACATAGGACGGCTGGCTGGTGATGTTGATGATGATAGTCATGTGGACGTGTCGTAGAACATTCGGCAATCAATATCAATTAGTCTGCTATACTGTGTACGAGCGCTGGTCAGGAATGCGTGCTCGGTGTGTGTTGCGCGTGCCTTTCTGGACGCCTACGGCGGCGTAGTCTCAGCAGCTGACGAGCGCAGGCCTCCGTCGGTGGGAGCTGGTCAGAGTGGCGCTGGGCGTGGGGCGGGCGGGCAGCGTGCCAGGACAGCCTCAGCAGCAGACGCTCTCTCCGCTCTCAGTCGGCGAGCTCATGGCCTGCTGTGCCGGCGAGTGGCGGGCCTAGCCGATCATCACAGTTCTCTCGCTGTCTGGTGGCAACCGTCGTGACGCCCGAGGCCGTTGTTGTTGCTGCTGCTGTTGGGTGCCGTGTCTCCCGTGTAAGCATACCACCAGCCGATGTGAATAGCGCGATGGAATGAGAGAAAAAGTTAGAGAGAGAGAAAGGGAGAGGGAAGAAGGCAGAGTGTGAGAGGGAGCTGTTTGTCTGTCGTCTTTGCTGTCAGTGCTTCTTCTCCGCCGTCCGGACGCTGTCTGTGCTGTCACAGTGCCGCTTGGCCAGAGTGCACTGGAGTAGAGTGGAGTAGACTGTGCAGAGTGTGCCACTCGACACTTGCATCACACCTGCAGACAACACACATACTGCCCCGATGATTAGGCCCCAAACGTGAAGAAGAGATTGCCGCCACTCTCTTTCTCTTAAGAGTCAGACCTGTTCACCTGCTTTGACGCTGATGCGCTCAGGCGACACGTCCATGCAAATCACGGCCATGGAAAAAGTCCCCGTCGGTTCAGACCTTCTATCTTCTGTCTTTCTTTCCCTTTAAACGGTGACTGGAGAGGATGGCATGGTGCAATGTCAGACATGTGTGCTCTTTGCTGACGCTGCTGCTATGGGTAGTGTGGTAACTTACCTGGTAAGTGAGCCGCAGCAGCAGCAACAGCAGTAATCAGCGCTCCCTCTGACGATTGGTGATTGTCGCTTCCTCGGTACTGCCTTGGTACGGTAAGCCTGGTACGACTGGTTAACGAGTCGCACCGTGACAAGCTGCTTTATTATTACTGCTACAACATCACAGCAACCTTTGTCACATTGTCACCGCAGAGATCTCACTTGCACAGTCTTGCACAGACTGTATCACTCTTCAATGCATGCATGTGGAGCACATTACGCACTTATCAATGCACACAGCCATTTATAGTCGCCATAGGAGATTTATGGCAGACAATTTAGCGCTAAACTAAAGCCCAGACGGCTCAGCTGTAGTTCGCAGAGTAGTGCTTGCGGTAACGAGACGACAGGCACTGACTGGCTTCCACTGCAGTGCCCACTAATTGGGGAACATTATGCACCTGCTGCTGCTGCTCATGCCGATGGTAATGATGCTGATGGTTATGGTTAGGATGTTGTTGATGGTAGTGATGATGCCTCTCTTGTCTTCAGCGCCGCTGCCCCTACGCCGACGCTGCACTCCTGCGGTCCAGTGATGCGATTCAGCTGCTCCTCTGCTGCTCTGATCCACTTGTCGCATATAAGGACAACAAACTGCTGTTCAAAGTGCACCGGCCACTTCTTCTTTTTCCTCAGTGTGCTTTACTGACTTTCACCGGCCACTGGTGGTGGTGGTGATGGTGCAGTGCACACCACTGCCAGACAATCTCTCACTCACACTCTCACTCTCACTTCACGTAATCCTTTGTGCAATCTCATGGCACTGCCGTCTTAGCCTACGCTTACGCAGACGACACCACCACTGTCTGTGTAGGCTCACTTTTGGAAGGAAAAGAGTGAGAGTGTATTGAATTGTCTTCTTGGCAAGGGGCGCATTTCCAATTGACAGCTCCTAATTTGCCCACTTTGACAGTGTGACGTCGGTGGGGCGCGTCACCGTTTGCAATGTGTGTACCTGCACTGAAGCGATGACTTCATTAGCCCCCTTTCCCGCTAACATCATTGCAGTGATTTTTGCCAATCACAGAATAGGAATTATCGCCCTAAGAAGCGGATATATTTAATTATCAAAGTTAATACTTTTCTAATACTATTAAATGTGCGCATCACACAAACCAGGCGCGCTGCGGCTGCTGTCGCTGCTGAGTTCAAATGAGCCGGCTCGAAAGAGCGTTCCGTCAGTTGCTGCGACTGATGCTCTTCATTCGTCTCTGCTTCTGCGCTCGGCTCAGGTGAATCTGACTGTTGTCCTTTGAGTAGAGCGAGGAGAAGTTAAAGCAGGCGAAGAAGAGCAAAATGAGGTAGAGCAGACAGACGACCGTGCAGACGTTAGACGGCTTGAAGTCCACCGAGAAATCAATGTGCGAGTTGAGCAGCGCAGTCAGCTGCAACATGAGGAAGAAGAAGGAGGTCAACACGAAGGTGATGGCCTTCTCGTGGATGTTCGGATTGATCACCGGACTGTTGTACAGGTAGTAGATGCTGTAGCGGTCTACGAGGTGTTTGAAGACCATGTACAGCAGGCCCAGTGGCGCAATGATCGGACAGGCGATGCTGTACGTCGTGGCGATGGTGAAGATCAGCAGAAAGCGCGGGTAGCTGGAGCCGTAGCTGAACTCAAAGTTTGTCTCCAGACGGGCCTTGATGTACTCCGCCTCAGTGCGCGGGTAGATGACGCAGTTGAAGAGGTAGAAGCACAGCTCCGGCAGACGCAGCAGCTCCATCGAGTTGTTGATGAAGATGGAAGAGATGACCATCATCACGAACCACACACTGCTGTCAGGCTGAAAGAGACACTTGAAGAGCTTCTGAAAGCGGTTCTTCCGATCGGCCTCATTCTCTGCGTTTTCGAACATGTGGCGCAGGAGGATCTCAAAACTGAACGAGTGTAAAGTACTAAAACGGTGAGTTTCCGACAGGCACTAAGGTTCTTGATACTTACGAGTTCAGTCCTATGGTAGGGAAAATGAGTACCATAAAGATGAGAAAGAGATACATCGCCTGCATGGCCTTGAAGTTCTTCTCCGATTTGGTGTTTCGCGGTGTCAACATCACCACTACCATCACCAGGTTGGGCAGAATAGCAGACGAGCCGTTGAAGATGAGAATACTCAGATACTTGGCCAATTGAATCTGTGGTCATGGAGATTTTGAAAAAATGGGAAATTATATGACAACCTAATGACAATTTTGTGTCATCAAACCTGTGTCGATCCCATGACATGGACGGTGCCATTGGAGCCGAGGGCGCTGTTGACCATGCTGCTGAGGTAGTTGGTCGCCACCAGAGGAGTGGTCAGGAAGATAAAGATGAGCAGCACCAAAATGTTGAGGAAGCAGGTGCATATGCCCGAGGTGTGGTGGTTGATAATGATGTCCTTCCTGAAAAGGGGGTAACACATTACTAACTGGTAAATGCAAAGTACAGCTCTCTTTGCACAGACCACTCAATGTCTTCGGGAAGAGGCGCCGCTTTGACTGTCCACGAGTGGTAGTTGTATTCGTCCACATCATTGGGGTGCACCGACTCGGCGACGAACCAGCTCTTGAAGGTGCGGTAGTAGCGCTTGAGGGCACGTTCATGCGATGTGTTGTCAAAGTGCTCCAAAATTCTAGCGTGAAGATAAAGTTAGAATTGCTGCCTTCTCCATCATCAACTACTCTTACCGTTGTGCCATTAGTTCATTCTTCAGCTGCACAAAGACGGCATTCTGTGGGTCGGTGATGAGGCGATTCACCTCATCGTTGACCAGCATTCGGTACTGATCCTTCTGAATGAGGTAGTAGCCGGCCGCATCTTCCGTCGGACAGAGTGGAAGAAATCGCCCACCCAGCTGGGGACTGACCTGCAGTGGTGTGCCATACTCAAGGCGATACTTTTCAGTGTACAACANTGTGCCATTAGTTCATTCTTCAGCTGCACAAAGACGGCATTCTGTGGGTCGGTGATGAGGCGGTTCACCTCATCATTGACCAGCATTCGGTACTGATCTTTCTGAATGAGGTAGTAGCCGGCCGCATCTTCCGTCGGACAGAGTGGAAGAAATCGCCCACCCAGCTGGGGACTGACCTGCAGTGGTGTGCCATACTCAAGGCGATACTTTTCAGTGTACAACAGCGACTGGTCAATGCACGTCTGCTGCTTCTTCAGCTGTGCCAGCGTTTCCACGTCGTAGGTGAGCCAAACTTGCGTCACCTCAACACCGAGGAACTTCTTCTCAATAAAGTTCTTCATAGTGCGAGCGTTTCGTCTAGCTTCGGGCACATTTTGAATAAGAATGGTTCGGTCGTCTGACTCGATGGTCGGCGTAAAAATGAGATCAGAAAAGTTCTTCATCATGACCAGTCCCTAAAAGTGTAAGAAGTTCATAAAAAGGATTAGCCTGTTGCTGAGCTGTCAGGCAAACTCACCAGAATGACTATCAAAATGGCAACGACAGTGTGAATCCACAGATTGTTTGAATTCTCATTGACGTTGTTGATGGTGGTCATCTCAAAGTAGCGTTGTCCTCCTACAATGGGATTAATATTTTGGATTATACAAAGACCATTTTCCCCACAGTAAATGCAGCATCATCATCGAACCTTTTTTGCCAAGCATATTGATGGGCAGGAGGATGATCATGCAGGCAGCCGTCAGAGCAGTCATAAAGTAGATGATGTACCGCTGGAAGAGCAGGTACTGGAAAGCGTCATTCCCGCGGTGCTCATAAATGTCCTTGTCCTTGATCAGCAGGTAGTCGAGCAGCCAGTAGCGGTACTTTCCGACACTGTTCAACTTCTCCTGGTGCTTCTGCTTCATCTTCTCCGAGATAGCATTGGTCACGTAGAAGGCATTGCTCGGATTGTCATTGTCCTCCTCTGAGTCCGAGTTGGTGATCAGACGGTAGAACTCGTGCAAACAGGCCGGATAGTAGGCCTTTGGGTGCAATCGATTGATGTGATTGCTAGTGTGCAGTATGGACACAGTGCGGTCACTGTAGATGAACTGAAGCCAACTGGTAAAAGAAGAGAAAGGTTCTGGGGTTATTGCTTGGACAAGATAAAATGGTGAATCAAACCTGATGTTCCAGTCATTCTCATATGGCTTCCACTTGAAGTAGATGATGCGCACAATAGCAAGTATAATTAAGCAGACAGTTGCAATGAGGGCGTTAAAAACGGTCGCTTCGGGAATGCCCTCCCAACCAGGAATGCTTTCAGTGCTGTTTGTCTTCAGCGGTTTACACACTACTTTAGTTTGGCCATCCATTTTGGCAAAAAGTACTTGGAGAAATGAACGTAAGCAATTCACACGCAGTAAAACTCAAATGTAACGTAATCACTTTCAAGAAAGACTTTTTATTTGAAAAACTCGAATATAGATGCGAGTTCGAAAATGACACGTAATGTGTGTGGTCGTTTCACAAACTATTTCCTGTTGTTTAGCCTGATAACTTGTGAAATGAATTACTAATCTGCAGAATGACATTCTACAAGATAAACACTATTCTAGTTGCTGAGAACCAACTCGCTCTCGATTGGAATTCGCTGATCGTACAGTGAGGGCGCCTGAAGAATGATGCAAATAGTGCCACAGAAGACGGCCAGTGTGAATATCCAAAGAAAAAGTCGATCAAGAACCATAGCGATAAACTTCCAGTCCTCCATGATCTGCAACAAAATTTTAAAAAAATCAGTACAATAGTTTTAGAACAAATAAAAGCACTGACATTATTGTCAGCTTCATCCTTCTTGATGTGGTCTGAAAGGTGAATGATGCCCTTTATGGCTTTTTGCACTTCAGGTCGATTGAAGACTTGTCGCAAATTGGCGCAGTTCTGCTCGTAATAGTGATTGATTTCTTGTATCTGTTCGGCAGTGTAGACGTGTGCTGGTCGTTCCATCTGATCATCATACTCTGAGCTCTCATTCGGGTTAGTCGGCATGTATTCCAGTTCAGAATCCATGCAGTCCTCATTCGGAACCGACTCAAGGGACTCCACCTTGTACAGCGACTGATTGTTTCGAAATCGACTTTGAATAACTTGATAAGACTGATTCCAGCCATTGGCCTTTTCACTTCGAGTTCTAGTGCGATTTCTCCTGCCAACCTCTGAAAATGAACACAATTTACCAAAATATTAAATCAAGTAAACAATTCCCCAAATGTACCTGTCAATGCATCGTGCCATTCTCGAGAGGAAGGTCTCTTCATGAGTAAAAGTCGAGGAAGAATGAGAATCAACACTTTGCGAATCCAGGGGCGCATAATGTGCGTTGACGGTGATCGAAAGTGAATATTGAGCACTCCCACGGTCACACATATTGATAAAGTGACCAAAATCATGGTAAAGAGCAGGTACTTCCCGAGAAGGGGAATGGCAAGACTGGTTGGCTACAAAGATTAAAAATAAATTAGGAAAATCATAGACTAAATAAATAAGATTAGCAGACTTACCGGGATGATTTCAGCCAATAGGAGAAAGAACACAGTGAGGGCAATGAGAATTGAGATTGACAATGTGACCTTTTCACCACTGTCAGATGGCAGGTAAAAGACGAGAACGGTGAGGAAAGAAATGCCCACGCATGGAATGATGAGATTGACCGTATAGAAGAGTGTCTTCCGTCGCATGGTTATGTTGAAGGTTATGTCCGGATAGGGCTCCTTACAGCACTCGTAGTACTCCTCATTGTACTGCGCCGGCACCAGCAGAATGTCCCACTCGACGTTTCGGTAGAACTCACTCATGTCTACGCCCATCTCCACCACTGTTGAGCCTTTGTCCTGTTTGACGTGTCGAATGTCGACCTAAGTGTAAATGCGAAAATGATAGATAAAACTGAGTACAACGAGAAACTTGATTGCCAACTGAGCAAACCTCATGGCCGTCATAAGTCCAGCTGGCAAACTTCATCAGACAGGATTGCTGATCGAATGGAAAGTACTCGACGTCAATTTTGCAAGTGCTCTTGTACATTGCCGGTGGGTTCCACACTATCATGCCGGTTGAGTACACTGTCGCCTTTGTCATCAGTGTGACCTCGTAGTTTCCGTCTGCATTGTTAAAAAGGACAATGTCTGGAAGCCAAATCTGCTCAGCTGGAACGTTGATAAACTCTACTCCGCCGTACTCTTTTGGATTCCAGGTGAGTTTGTAGTCGTTCCAGGTCTAATCAAGGCAATTTTATTAGATCAATAAAGAAACAAACATAAATTAATATACCTGCTCAAGCCATAAATTGGTCGTCATTACTTGCTGCTTCATATTCTGCATTTTTACAAAAACAAGATTGTTAGAAGGACAAAAACAAATGACTTTGCACTTACAATGTCAATAATTTGCGTCAACTTGAGACCAATATTGACTATCAGCTTGTAAGAGTGGTTCTTTGAAGGTCTAATCAGTCTATTGTCTGTTGATAAAATGAAAATGTTAGTAAAACTGCAAAAATGAAGTCGTAAAAAAGCCGTACAATCAGAGAATAAATCATCGTGCAAGATTTTGGTATAAAAGTTTGAGTCTGGAGGACCCTCATGTCTTAAGGTTGAGCAATAGAGTAGAAAAGCTAAAAAGGGAATGTAAAAAGTCAAACGGCTACAGCCCCAAGCAGGTGACATCTTGACCGAGTCAAGTCACGAGGCAGCTTCTGATGCACCAACATTAGCAGGCTGCCAGATCCGACAAACAGTGAGCCAGAAAAACCGCATCACTCCGCCGCTATATAGTTCGCCAATCCAAAGCATCCAGGCCCAGCATCGATCTGAAGCAATCAGTGAGCCAGCAGTGATGCGACCATGAAAATAACGAGCAGCTTCATACAACACAGGGCCACCACTTGTGAAGCGAATAAAATATGGTTTATTTGAATGGTATAGTGTTTTACAGTGACTAGCAGTAGGGATTGTGTGTGTGTGTTTCAGTGCCAACAGCGTGCACACACGGCTCACAAAGCAGAGGAAAACGGTTTAACCAGTTGGAGGATAAGCTGCCGTGCTGAACTGTGAACTGGAGTGCTTCTCTCAAGATGTGTCCAGTTGGTCAGTTTAATTTTGTTCGGTACTACTGGTGATGTGACCAGACATTGCGATGTGACTGCCAGAACAAACTGAAACTGTTTTGTAGAAGATCCTGACCCGAACTTTTGGTGAAGTGAAGAGGAGGAAGAAGAGGGTAAAAGCAAGTAAAAGTGCATATGTGACAAGGTGCACGGGTCATTTGAAGCAGTGGACAGTTTTGTTGTTGTTTCACAAATAGATCATCATCATCATCAATTTGAAGTCCTAACAAAGGACAGGGAAATCTATCACATGGAATAGAGGCGAGCACAGGCTGAACGACATTGCACAGTGCGACAGTGCTCGCTGTGCCCAGCCACTGACTACATCGAATCAGAGTAGCCTTTGGGGGCAAAGACTGCATCACCGTCTTGGCAATTTGTCCGCCTTTTGGGCGCAGAAAGGCCGCTCGCCCAAAGATAACAGTTCACAGGTAAAGAGTAAGTGCTAAAGTAGTGGTGATGGTGTAAAGTACAAGCAGACAGGTTGAATGCTGTATTCGAGAAGACACTGCCGTCAAAGCTGCGAGTGACCAGTGGCCAGCAAGCAGCAGAAATGGGTTTGTCTGTCTCGTAACATTTGGAGGTGCGCGGTAAAAGGCCAGTTATAACGTACAAGTGTAGGTAACAGGGTTTGTGTGATTTAAATATCAAAACTCAAAATATAACAAATAACATTGAGGCAATCACAGGCGATGATTTTAAAGGATTATAAAAAAGATATCTTCTCTTCTTTCTGTATCAAGAATAATCGTTGTTGTTGTTGGTTTTTACTCGATGATAAATAGTGGTGTTGGTGGTGGCCAAGCGCAAGCACACTAAAAGATTGAAAAGGCTCTAACAGTAAGCATCGAACGATCTGCGCGCCATTTGCTGTCTCGGCAAGAGAAGAAGTCTTTGTTCGTGCCAATGAAGACGACACGAATGCAGACAAGAGAGTGGCGCTGAGAAGAGGAGTAGTAGGCCGAGTAGGTCATGTGGGAATATAGTATAAAAAGGAAAGAAGACTAAGAAAGTGAAAACTCAAATTAAACACATCTAGCATTGCGAAGATCAAACGAAAAGAAATGGAGATCGATCAGCGAAGTATGATTAGAGTGGGGGCGCACTGTTTTGTTGTTTTTTATAAGCTAACGACCGCAAGTGGTTGTTGTCTGACCGGTAAAGTTGTTCTTGACCGCGGTTCGATCAGAGTTGCAGCGACGATTGCTGATGGGCGAGCTGGTGAATGCGTCCTGCGGCGCCTTGCCGCCGCACGACAGCACCGCGTTCGCCGATATGCTTCGTCCTCTCAGCGAGTTGTTGGCGTCGAACGTGTACTTGGTGTTCTCAGAGGACGTCATCGGCTCAACGACCATCGGCTCGGGTGAACTTTTCGAGTATTGAGCTTCCTTTCCAGTGGCAGTAGTGGTCGTTCTCGCCGTGGTGGTGGCAGTCTCTTCGTAGTTCTCGTCTACCATCATTGGCGAGTTGACGTCCAAGTTGAGGTCGCTGCAGGTGGAGTGTGTGTTCTCCTTCATTTCACTCAAATCGATCACATTGTTGAGATGACAATTTTTGTAGTCATCAAAAGCGCTGATGCTTCGGCACTGCGTGGAGATGACCGTATCAGCGCTGAATTCGGTCGAGACAGAGGTGTTGTTGTTGTTGTCGTTCGAGCCGACAGTTCCCTGAGTGATAATATCACAATCCGATTTTGGAGGATAGAGTTTCAGTGCAATCGCCAAGTCATGAAGCACTTCAAGCTCCTTCTCTTCGATCAGCTTAAAGCGTTCATTGAAGAGCACTAGATGAGCAAAAATGCAGTTGAGATGAGGATGAAGGTTCAGCAAAACGATCTCCTTAAAGTGAGAGTGGTAAATGTGTGCAATCACGTGATAAAGAAGCCTCATTATCTTCTTGACAATGGCCTCAAAGCTGCTAGGAAATTCTTTATCTAGATCAGCAAAGGAATGAAATGGTTACTGCAAGTTCTTACAACAGCAAAATATAAACTCATCATACCGAACTTTGTTGGAAAGACAGACTCATCATGGATGGTCTTTTGGGTGTAAATCATCACATAATCAATATATTGGGGAGCAGGCACCTTGCATCGTTTGCCCTTCTCATCAACCCACAGGTACTGGCTGTAGTGGTGAGCACACCACGCAAATGACAGATTATAAACATTAGCATGAGAAAGTTCACAGGAAAGCCGCTTACCGATTGCAAGGCCCACTCATGTCGGGACAGCCTGACATGGAGCAAAACTCGGAAATGGTTCCGTAGAGCAGATTGACATGATCAAAGAAGGCGATGGCTGTGTGGGAATGAACGAGAAAGATGTAAGGGGTTAGAAGGCGATTAGAAGAGCAGATTAGATAGAGAGAGAGAGAGAGAGAGAGAGAGAGAGAGAGAGTTGGGAAAAGTGCGGAGCTTACTGTGAGAAGCGAGCCATTCGTTGTAGTCGAGTCCTTCCACCAGGTTTACAATTTCTCGTAACTTCACTTCAGGCGTGGTACTTTCGAGCATCGCAGCATGCAAGTACTGCTTTGTCTCCTCTTGCTGGGCAGGGTTCGGGTCTTTGTCTTTACGACGCGCTTTCCTAATGGGAGCAATTAGAAAAAAATGAAAAGAGTGAGAAATGGTGCTCTGATCCGTATCGCAAGGAGCAAACTGTCGTGCACTGATTACAATGAACTGATGAAGCGATATACTGCAGTCATCGCAATCAGTGCCATTGTACGCAATGAACAGATGTACTCTCTTTTGGTTGACCGCATTGTGTTGCACCTGACAAAAAACATTCTCCTCATGCTGCTGCTGATGCTGTCCCCTAGGCAACAGAAGAGTGGATATGGAAGTTCACTCGCCCAGAGTGACCATCTTCCTCTCCGAGAAGAGGCACGCCGCCGTCGCCGCCGATGACACTGGGCGAGGCTACCACCGAGAAGGCGCACCGACTCGGTGTCAGACGACGTGCACTTGTAAGTGCAATCAAATGGCAGCTTAATTAGTTGCGAGATCGAATCATAAAAAGACATGCGAGTGACGCGATAATTGGATTACATGCAAAGCACTGGCATGCGAATATTTAGCAAAACAAAGCTGACAATAGTGAGGATGGCGGCCGCGGCAGCTGCTGTGATCAAAAGAAACGTCGCAAGTCAGTGTGTTGATGTGCCAGTTGTTGTTGTCGGCGTCGCAGTGCACGGCAGTTCCATTTATGGCCATATACAGAGCAGGGCCGTCGAATGGAATGGTTGGCGGCAGTGAACAACAAGAGCAGGCACACATCCTCCCTCACTCTCTGTGCCCGACTGTAGTCGCTATTATGGCTGTTGCTTGCGAGCTCATCTAGCTGGTCAACAGCTTGCAGCAGCGAATCGATTGTGCCTAGACAGTGCTGCTGGTGCCAGTGGTGCTGCTGCTGCTGATGGCACAGCCAAGTAAATGTCAGCATTGTCAGTCAGTGTTGCCAGAGCACGGACGGCAGGACCGCAAAGGAAGCCTGTGCCATACTGTGTCAGCTGACAAGGATTAAAAGGCTGCCACATATTAGCTGGCTGTTAATTAAGGATGGCAAACCATTACAAAACGTGATCACTCAAATATTACCTCACAATTGCAGTGGGAATGATGCACAGGCACAAAGAGAGTCCCGTGACGAGTTCAGTTATTAGGTTTGCAGAAAGACAATACCCCAAACGTGTGTGTGCAGTGACATAATACTAATAATCTCTACAGAAAGAGTAGACGCTGGCTGAGCAACACACTGCCATAAGGTGACTTCAAGGTTGGAAAAGACCTCTGCGTCGGTATCACTGTGTGTGTCAGCAGGCAAGCAACAGCAGAAGCAGCAGCAGAAAAGCACGAGACTTGTAGATTGCCGCCGTGTGTGCCAGTGCGAGTGGCTTGTACATCCAAGGACACCACGTAAAGCATGTGTGTGCTACCCGCAAATGCAACAAAAACGAATAAGAAAATCATTTTTGACTGTCAAAAAGAAGGTAAGCCGAATTACCATGAATTACTATGAATAGATTTTGAGCAATTGAACAATCTACCATACTTGCCAGTGTAAAAAATAGCTCAATTATATTACTATTGCAGTCAAATTTTGTACGACTAAAAGCTTCCAAAAGGCAATAGTGCATGAACAACGATTGAAGATTAATTGTGTAATTCATGAGAAGCAATGAAACGAGAAGAATAGCCTGTAGTTTTAAGACCAGGCAGTAGACTTATAAATTGGCCGATTGAGAGTGGGAAAGTTTAATGGCAAAAGGGCAACTGGAGAAGCACTGAAGTGCTTTGAGACAGGGCAAACTCACCAGACAAAGTTCAGCACAAACATGCTGCTGTGAAAGGGTTTCATTTGGGCGCAAACAGTGCACAAGTAGTGACAACGTTGAAAGGGATGACACTGCAGAGCATGTCATCGACAAAGACGCCAACGGAGGAATAGATAATTGCTGGCAGCAGTAGCAGTAGCAAACACCAGCTGACAGGAGCGATTAACAGGCACCAATTATTGGCGGAACAGGGAATCCAAGAGTCGACAGTGTGTGGAAGTGTCTGACGCAAGTTAAAGCTCCGCTGGTGAAAAGCGTTGAAGAGCAGCGGAGAGCAATTTTCACTGACAGTCGCCAGTGCACAGCGAATATAAAGTAAAAAGTGTTTTGTTTCATGCACACACACACACACTTGACGAAGAAGATGAAGGATCAAGATTGGGCAAGCAGTGACGATTAGATGCACTGCGACCCTGAATGTAAGATGCACTGATAAGGGACACACCGTTGGAGATATCACCACCGAGATTGTGCTTAGGCTAGTGTCTTTAAAGTCTCAGCAGGCGCAGCAGCTTCAACGTCAGGCGGTACACAGCGACAGACACTGCCGTCAGAGAGCTCACAGTGAATGGCGGACCCAAGAAGAGCTGAGGAAGATGCAAATCTCAAGTGAAGGCGCACGCGGCACGCAGCAGAGCATCGTAAAAGACACCGATGAAAGAAATGAAAAGTAAAACACGACGTGCGAGCCGCAGACAACAACTGGTTTGATAAGGCACAACAAGGAAATGAAGAACTGACTGCAGAAGCGAACCAATTACGGCTGCCAGCAGAGACAGAGGCAGAGACAGGTTGCAGCAGCAAGACGGTCGCTTAGTGCTCGACAGGCTGCTGCAGCTGTTCGCTGAAGCTGTCTGCTGGCCAAGTGCTGTCTCTGCGAATGGCGTGATCAAAGTGAGAGAGAAAAGGAGAGAGTGAATGAGAGAGTGAATGAGAGTGAGAGTCGTCAGCAGTTGAGCCAAGTGCGCGTAGTGCAAGAGACAGAGCGCGCGGACTGAGGCGACGATGCCAAGCTCTTCAATTCAAACTGCATCTGCCGCGCCGCGTGCACGTCCTGTGTCGACCGCGATTACGAGTTTCTTATCGTCACAGAGAACAACAGTGTGCCGAGTAACCTTTACTCGAACGGCCACAACGGCCAACGAACACAACACACAAGAGCACAAGAGCAGACGCGGCCAGCATCTGCCTACGCAGGTTAATTAACTTGGCCAATGGCTGTGGCTGTTGAGGTTGTAGCTAGTAGAGCAATTGCTCTCTGAATTCGGTGCCAACTGTTAGGCGACGAAGACGGCGGCGGCGGTGTCAGCAGTAGTGTCGCAATTGGTCTTCCACCGTGGGGAGAAACAAACAGAAGGGAAAAGCCGTAATTGAGAATCGAGCTGAACCAGCCGGAGCCAGACAGACGGCGACGATGCTCGTCCGAGGGGAGATTGCCTAGCAAATTGCATTGCGCCCCCTTCCCTTCAAGGCAACGTGATTCGGCAAAGAAATGAGGCCCATCATAACTGGGCAGAAGAATTGTGAGGCAGTGGCAGTTCGTCTGCGGGCTGACTGATTAGTTGGCAAAAGCTATCTGGAGGACTGTGTGCACTAGCTGAATCAGTAGTGGTAGCAGCAACAGCCCAACCATACGGCAATCGAGGGCTCCCCCAATTTCGAGCGCCCCCAATGACTGCGGCAGTCTGTGTCGGTGGTGGTGGCCCATTTGCAAGCCTTACAGTAGAATCGAGTCCAGAGGCAAAGCCGGCTGCAGCAGCGGCAGCTAGCCTCGATAAGAAATGCCCTTGCAGAGTGGGAGAACACTCAAGCACACCTGTTCGAACTCTGTAATAGAGACAGCGAGAGAGAGAGAGAGAGAGAGAGAGAGAGCGCCTGTGTTAGTACAACGGCCGTCGCGGAATTGGGCGAGTGGAGGAGACAATTGAGGCAATTCAGCTGTTGCCTCACACCATCGATCGACAGAACGCCTCGATCGTTTTCTATTGACAGCCAGCCAAAGTGAGAGAGTGTGAGCGCATAGTAGTAGGCACACACTAGAGCAAGGTGCACTACTGACGGTGTGCACGGTGGGCAACGTTAATTGCCCGGTGCCGGCCGAACCGTGCCCATGACCAATGGTGCCTCGTGCACTTTAATTCCTCCTTCAGGACGAAACATCCGTAAATCAAAATCAGTGCTTTTAGGCACACATACACACAGAGACGCATTCCTTATCGCAAGCAGCAACCACACATAAAAATGCCAACCAGTTTGCCAGAATGGAAAAAAGAATGCTGGTGCAAAGTGAGGTGGCTGCGAAGCCACTTCCAGTAAAGCACTTTTGCAAACAGTTCAATCGTTCAATGGGGAATTACTGGGGTCGGTGCAGTGAAATGTGCCACCATGACAGCAGCAGCAGCATGATGATTTGCCATATGTGACTGCAGATAGGCAAAGAGAGACAGACAGGCAGTAAAATGCACTCGTCGGTGCAGCGAACTCTACAGCGACACTACTTTCGACAAGCAAGTTGCCATAACAGCACACAAAAGGATGCGATCAAATGTAAAGTGCGTAGTGAAAATGTCACCGTGCACTCCCCGCCATGCCCAATTCGGAAGTGAGAGTGAGAGTGCAAGTGCTAGAGCACAGAGAACAAGTCGCGTCACAGCTCGGCAACTGGTGCCAGTGCCAAAAGAAAGTCATTCACTTGCAAGCTTCAAACTGTACCAGAAAACAGAAAACAGCAACAGAAGCAGCAGCTGCAGCGGCAGCAGAAAGAAAAGCGAGGCTACACACATATTAGGCAGAGGTGACAATCGGTGGGTTGGCATTCGATGCACACTTTTGTCTGTCGTTGCTTGTAAAAATAACTTTGCATTCACTCAATTCACTAAACGGAATAAAACGGATGGCAATCGCCTGTCAAAAGCCTACTTCTACTGCTACTCTACTACACAGCCTAGCCTTCTTCCTGGCCACCGCCGATGTTTGACGCAACTTTTGCAGACTCACTTCCATAGACACACACACATGCTCGGTAAAGATAAATAAAAAAGTACAACTCGGGTCAATTAAGCGTCCATTTTCCAGGTGAAAAAATGAGGCTCAGAGTGGAAGCGAGGTGTGCGGTGCAATCACTGTGCCAATCAACGGGGGCATTTATGCTCTCATTGTTTGCTTTGGTCACAATTAGCCTGAAGCACGAATGCACGCACACAGTGGACGTTGAGTGATGTAAAATTCTGGGTAATGAAATAAAGACAAAAAATGGTCAAGCACCACTTTGCTGTAGTAGCTTGGTACTTCGCTTGGTAATACATCACGCAAGCCATCAAATCGCTTCAAATGCACAAGTCAGCATTGAAGAGGCGGCTGCTGTGGCCAATGCAAACATAACAGTGAGGCCAAGTCGAGTCTAGTAAAGTGGAGGTGGTGGTGGCGGTGGATGGTAAGAAGCACAGAGGCAGTAGTTGCTGCCGCGGGGAGACTTTTCACGGCGGGTGCCGAGTGCTGAGCAATCGGAAATGATTAAGCCCGAGCATGTGTGTTAGTGCCAGTCTCCAGCGCTGCTGCTGCTGCTGGCGACTGTCCCATTGAGAAGTAGTGCCTACCTGCTATTATTCACTGCCGCTGCTGCTACTGCAGAAGCAGTCGACCTGCCACCGGGTATTTGCCTAGTGTTTGCCAATGCCAACATATCACATGAATCATGCGAGCTTCAGAGCACCACAAGGCTGCCAAAACTTGTGCTCCAACTTTCAATGTGTGTGCCCATAAGGCGAAACGGCCAATACCTAGTGTATTGGATGACGTACAAAGGCTCGGTGTGTGTGAGTGTGTGACAAAGGCTTGTCAATCAGCATTTAATTTATCGGCGGAATGGTACCAATCAGTGACAGTATAGTGCATGCGGCGTGAAATAAAGTATACTCTGTCGCAAGGTCATGTAAGCTCAAGAGTAAAGGATAAGAAAATGCATTCACATCGAGATGTTTGTCATCATCTAAAGATTGATAGTAACTTGTGGTAACAATTGTCCACAAAGGGATTATGATCATCAAAAAAGAGACAAAGCCTATACCTAAAGTGTTCTAGATCCATAAAAAGTTGCACGACAAAAGCACTCAATAGACACAAACAAGTACATACCCAATGAACCAGTCCATTGTGTCACGAATGTAATCTGGTAACTTCTCCAGCTTGAACAACTAAAAAGAAACTGAGGCGAATAAAATGAAGAATAGAAAAGATCCAACGCGGAAAGATCCAGGCTTTTTGTGTTGTTGCTCAGTGTGTATGCCAGTGATCAATCAGTGGTCGATTAGAATGGAAGAACCTTGATCAGTTGACCGAATAAGCAGCTGAGCACATAAAGCAGGTTGATGGGCACAGGCGACGACGGTGCTCCAGATAGCAGATAGAAACTAAACAAATGTATGTTGCACGTCGCTTGCGCGAGAATGCAGAAGAGCCAGCGACGTCGGCGGTGGTGCTCTTGAGAGGAATCGTCAGGGCATTTGATGGCAGAGAGATTAATTATCAAGTGCACGAGCAAACTGCTGGTGAAGGAGGAGGAGGAGGAGGCCAACGAGACAACAAGAGGCCTCTAGGGCGAACTGCTGTACCACAGCAGCTGGTGGTGGTGGAAGTCAGGTGCAAGCAGCAGTCAGCGAGTGCTCTCCAAGGTTTCTCAGCAATTGGAACAGCAGTGGTCTTTGGCTTCACCTGGGATCCGAGGATGAGAACTGCTGGTGGTGGTGGTGGTGGTGGTGGCGTACTGGTGGCGAGTGGAACGCTCCTGCCGAGGACTGCTCCACTGGAACTGGTGCTGCCTGTTTGGGAAGTGCACTGCAGGCTCCAGAGCAGAGATAATGGCGAGGATGAGGTGACAGGCACCAGGCAGAAAACGTCGGGTTATCTCTCTCGCTCGCTGCTGAGGGCAGCTTTGTTGTTTGCAGCGTTTGTCTGCGTTTGTTGTGTTGCTGTCCTGTGTGTCGACTGTCTGCCTTGTCTCCTGCTCGGACAGACAGTCGCGCACTTTCGGTGTCAGCCCGCTAGGCAGCGCCACCTGCTCGGTGGATTACATCATGCAAGACAGTCGGTTACAAAGTTCCAGGTTTAGAAGGAGGTATTATTCGGTATTGGGTTCACCAGCAGTTGTGTACAAAGAGGGGTGTGATAGATGCCATTGGCATTGGAATAAGAATAAGAAAAAAGAAAAATGTTCTATGAAAAAAGAGTAAACTTACAATGCACTTGAAGCATCGACGGACAGACAGTTTCTATAATGTAAGACAACAAAAGAAATACATCGAATAAACCAGAAGGAGGATACATCAGAATTTTACATAGGTGGGTGAGGCGGAGGACGCATCATGCCTGGCGGAGGAGGCGGTCTGATCCCGGGCGGAGGAACCATCGGCGGAGCTCCTGGAGGCATTCCACGACCCATTGGCATGCCTGGTGGCGGCGGAGGCATACCTGGAGGAAGTCCGAGACCGGGCGGTGGCATTCCTGGTCGCATGCCTGGAGGTGCAGGCGGAAGACCTCGACCTTGTGGAGCCATGGCGGCGGGAGCTGGTCCACCGACGCCACGAACAGGGCCTTGTAAGCCCGGCGGAGCGCCAACAATGGGCGGGACAGCCACTGCAGGCAAGCCTCGGCCAGCGGCACGGCCCAGGCCAGGACCAGGAATGGTTCCTGCAAGGGGCACCCGGGAGATGCCTTCATCAGGCGGCGGAGGTCCTTCAACCGTCAGCGAGACAATGTTTTGCCCTCGCAGCAAAACAAAGCCCAGTACTCGCTTCTCTTCACGCTCAATTCCCTTGGTTCCCTTGCCCTTGATCTTTCGAAACTCTTCACATTCTGAGAGAATGATGTTCATGTGCTTGTCGAACGCTTTGAATGTGCCAATGAACGTGCGACTGTCCTGCAAAATTACCCTCATGCGGTAGCCGAGGTACTGCATCATCTTGTTGTTCTTGCTGATCGTCTGAGGGAAAAAGCAAACAAATCAAATAAAAGCACCCATTGACATTTCACCACCACCATGAACTTACCATTGTTTGTCCGGGTCAGTTCTTCCGCTGCTCTACTGGCACAAAAGTGATGGACAAGTGACGGGAATGACTGATGGCAGGACTTCTTAGAAAGAGAAGTTGGATCGCCTGCCAGACAATAACAGCATGCTGCGGTGCCGGCTTTGAAGCTTCGCTGAGCGAGCCATTTTGTGACAATCAAAAGCCACTTGGGTGAAAATCGGTGCACTGCGCGCCAGTTTACAATAATTTTCATAATCAAAAAGAAGTTTTTTATTGGTAATTTCGCACAAATATAAGAATTTAAGGGTCACTAGAATCGCCCCACATGTATTATTAGTATAAAATAATAACACATTGAATCGGTGAGAAGAGCAGTGAATCGTCGCATTTCGTTTTCAATTTACAGTGCTAAAAACAAATTGTATCAACTAAATTTTTTTTAAATAAATATATATAAAGCACGATGTGCACACACAGGTTTGCCGGTTTCAATGGTTTTCACTGGGAAATCTGCGAGAAGTTGCCGCCAAAGTTGAAAGTGGTTGGAATCGTCTGGTTGGCAAACACGTATCCGCCACCTTGTTCAATTTTACGAGATTCTAAAAGAGCGAAAGAACGTTTTAGAGAAAACGAAACTCTAATTAAAAAATGAGACAAACTTACCAGCCGCATCCTGGCGGCGCTGAGCCAGGACAAAAACCTCCTCCAAGGTAGTCATTAGCTTGGGTTCAATGTTGCCAAAGAGAGCCTGGTACCAGGTCTGCTCTGCCTGGGTTCTCAGCAGCTCTACCGTCTTGCAGAAGATAATGTACTCGTCCTCGGGCGAGTCGTCCTTGTCAATGGCAGTGTCAAAACTTTCAAGTGGCGTCAATTCATTGTCGTCGTCTTCAATGTCACTCTCGCTGTCGTCGTCGTCATCTTCAAAGTCATCATCATCCATCTCTGTGACATTGACATTAAAGGGTAAGTTGCGCTGCAGTTGACCAACGACCTTCTCCAACCCATTACCTTTGTCTCCGGCAGCTCCGACGACAGCATTGTCCTCTCCGTCAGCAGCGTCTTCGTCGTCATCATCCGTTTCAACGTCAGTGTCTTCGTCCACGGTATCGGCATCGGCGTTTGCTTTGGCCTTGTATGACTCCTTCAGATTTTCAAAAAGTTTGAGCGTTTCAGGCAGAATTTTAGAGGCAAAGTCATTCACGATCAGAGGCCTCTTGCTTGCCTCCAGCTGGAGCAGCTTGGCGATGCCGAGAATGCACACTTTGCGATCGTGAAGTCCGTGGAAAGAGTCGATGTTGGTGAGCCACTGCTCAAAGAAGTAGTTGATCAGCGGCTTGTTTGGGTAAGCAGGCTGCAGCTTCTCCAGAATCTGAAAGAGCAGGTCGTGATTGAAGTAGAAAACGTAAATCATCACTTGCATGCACATGGTGTGCAGCTCTTCGGTTTTGAGCTCTTTCATGAACCGAGCGAGGACAATTTCCACAAACATGGGAATGACGCTCTCAACTTTCTGGCCAAACTGAATCACAAAGCACTCAATCATTTTCACCACGTTTCCGTGGACGTCTTCAATGACGTCAGCGTTGAGGACAAACTTGCACATCTCAAAGAAAGCTGCCACTCGTTGCGGATTTGAGATGAATGCCTCTGGATCGACGATGATAAAGTTGTGCAGAGCCGACATCATGTCGGTAAAGTACTCCACTCCAGTGTCCTTGATCATGATCTGGTACATAAACTCGTACAGCTTCCACATGTCATTCGAGATGAACTTGTCGGTGAGGGAGGCAATTATGTTGAAGCTCTCCTCGTACAGGTCGACCAGGTTTTGGTTAAACACCAAAAAGACTGCTTTAAGCGCAATGGGCTCTACTTGTTCCAGAACCTCCTTGGTCTCGATCATCATGAGGACAGTGTCAATGGTGCTGAGAACGCCCATTGCCGTGATGGTCTTGTCCTCGCTGTCATCATTACCTTGCAGAATGTCATTTAGTGTATTCACCAGGTGCTCAATTATTTGAGATGAAATTGGAACCACTTTGTAGCCGTAAGCGTAGATGACCTTCTGCAGAGCATTGGTGACATCGTCGTTCTGCGATTCCTTGACGATGTTCAGGTACTGAATAACAATTTCATTGAGACGAGACTCACAGGCAACTTTAACTTTTTCTTGGCTTGCAATGAAAATGTGCAGTGAGATGGCCGCCTGCACTTTCACTGGAAGCTCGGTGTCAGTGAGAAGTGCGTTCTGCAAGCAGGTGACCACCTGATTGAGAATGGCATCGTTTTCAAAGTCATGATCTTCAAAGTAGTGCAGAACCCAGGCGGCACGAGCTCGCAAAAAGGGAGCCTCACTGACAAAGAAGGGGAAAACAAAGTGCATCAGCATGTCATTGATCTGCTGGAGGTAAGTCTTCTTCTTGAGCAACAGGTCAGACACGTCTCCCAGCATATGCAGGGCGCCATCCTTCTGGCGAGCATCACTCGTCGGCGAGCTGAGGACTTGCACTGAGAAGGCAACCGTATCCTTCAGCATGTCTTTGCGCTTCTTACAGCAAGTGTTGAGAAAGGTTTGTGCGGCGCTGACCGGCGAAATGAAGTCCTCGTAAAAGTCAAACTTTCTCCTAATGTACTCCTGAGGATCCATGTTCCACAGCTCGTCATCATCGTCAGTGTAGCACATTAGTGGGAAGATGACCTTCTCCATGAGCACTGCAATGTGCGGCTTGATATATTTCCATGTTTCAGCATGTTCAACTCTAAAAAAGACAGTAAGCATTTAAAGAAAAAGAGATAATAAATAGTCTTACGAAGTATTTAAATAGTTGATACACTGCTGAACCACTCTTGGCGGCAAGTATTCGCCAGCGCTGTACTGGCCCAGCATTGCGAGGATGATTTCGATGACACCTTTAGAGAAGGTTTTCAAGTACCAAGCTGAGAAAGACTTGTACTCCTTATGAGAAACCTTAGGCAAGCCGTAGCGATCGAAAACGCGAACCAAAATGTGAAGGGTCCACTTCTTTGCCTTGTACCAAGACAACTCATAGCGCTCGTCCTTCTCGACCTTGCTCACCTCTGCTGGAACTGGCCGCTCCAGAACTTGCCGAAACACCTGCATCCACTGACTAAAAAACTCCTCTGTGAAGAGTGTCAGTGGAAGAGAGTACTGGGTCAAGATGAAGATAGTCTTAAGGATGACTTTCTGTAGAGAAGCAGAGTGCTCTGAATTGTCAGGAAGAAGCCGCACCATCAGATCGTAGATGATGGGCCCAATGAGCTTCATGGCTTCCAGCAGTGGCCCTTTGTCAGCATTGTTCTTGTATTCGTAATTTTTGGTCAACTGCAGCAGTGCCAGGAGGGCGCCCATCCACTTCTGGGGCTCAGGCGTTTGCAGGTAAATCACAATTTTGTCGACAACACCGCTCCACTTCTCGGGAAAGTCGTACTTGATGATGTAGTTTAGTGCCACGCACAAGCTAGTTCGGATGGCATCAGGTGCGGCAACGACGGCATCGACGATGGCGTTTCGAATCACCTCTCTGTCCTGCTCGTGGATTGAGTAGGTCACCTGAGGCTGGCCCTTCTTTGCCTCCTTATCGTGCCAGAAGCTGACCACTTCATTTTTAAAGTAAATGGCAGCAGCTTGGCGCACGGGCAGCTCTATGCTGTTCTCCATCACAATCTGGAGAACAGTTGGCAGGAAGTTGATAATCTTGTGCACCTATGAGAGAGAAAGATGAGGCAATGTAAACATGAAAGTGCTGCTCAGAAATGCAAAGCCGGCTCCACTTACCTGATCCAGCTGTTTTTCCGCCTGCTCATGCTGGTGTTGATCAATGGTGGCCTGAAAGATTCTAGCTAAGCTTGAGATATCCATGGTGGACTTGCCGACTGGCTAGCTACAGCTATTGAAGAGAACGAAGTGCTGGTGGCGGCGGTGGTGGTCGTCAATCCGATGGACGTGGTGGTGATCGGGGAGGTGACAAAGGACAAGCAGGGATGAGTTGTCGTCGAGTGGGCAAAGCATGCAACTGATACATGAGCGCCGAAGAAAGCAGTGCAAAGTGGCTGAAAGGCGCACTTCATGACTAATTTCCGAAGCGTGGTGCGCCGTCCTGTTTCCACCCCACCGGCCCCCACGTGTCGTTTTTGACCAAAACATCCAATTTTTTCTTTTTAAGAATTTTTGTTGCCTTTCTGCAGGTGATTCGGTTTTACCACCTTGTTTGTTATCACCTCACCACTACCATGTACCGTCACTTGATCAGAATTGAGCAGCGCCAAAGGTTTGGTCGATTCTTTACCTTTCAAGCTGTAGCAGTATTTTCATTTTTGTGCTTCCTTTCAGTTTGGCGATATACTTCAACCGCTTGCCAATTATTCGCAATCTAAGCACCGGTAAAGAGTCCGATGACTCGAAACCAGAAAATGCTAGTACTGAGAAAAAGACAAAAGAGAAGAAAGTTCGTTCTGCTAGCAAATCTGTTGTTATCAAGGTGAAAAGCGAGGCGACGCCTAAGGATGCACAGAGCAAAATGGACAGTTTGATGAAGAGCGCTAAAAGTATTGATTCAATTGGTCCGAATGACAAGCAGACGCTCAGTCGGAATATTGGCAAACCGAAAACGTTTATCCGTCAAAGTGCCCGCAGTCAGCCAGCTCCTGTTAAGGCCTTTCCCGAAGAGATGGAACCAGTTGACAAGGTGGCTCAAGGTTTGGACAAACGCTTGGTGGATGCTGCTCGGAGGGTTGCCGGCAAAATGCCAAAGCACATTGCTAAGGCCACCGAAAAGGAGCTGATCGATTCGATCGACAGGACTAACAAGGAAACTCTGCGAGCAAAGTACGAACCTTTTCTCCATTTTGAACTGCTCTAATAACTTTTATGTTATTTACAGAAAGCAATTTGAAACTAGTCGGCCTAAAGAGGATTATACAAAAAGGTTTGTTTTCCTTGTGTAAGCACATGTGAAATCTCATTAGCGATTTGATGTTGTTTACTTTATTTAGCATAAGCTACCAAATCATGAAGGAAAACAGACAGAAGGCGACTGTGAATGAGGCCACATTGGCTGAGCTCAACGAACGCATTGCACCAACAGTAGAGAAGATTAAAGTGACTCCGAGAGGAGTGAGGAGCCAGCGGAACTTTCCCACTGGCTTCCGCAAGGATACTAGCCTATTCTCCGGAGAGTGCCTCAACATATTCGATCCCAAAGGATTGTACCTCAACAGCGACATTAGTCGAAACTTATTCTGGGAAAAGCTTCTGCGTGACGAGATTGAGCAGTCAGTTGACTTTCCTCCCGAGAATCCGTTTGAAGAGATGATCAAGTGGACAGCGGAAGGTAGACTGTGGCACTACCCAATAAACAATGAACAAGGTTTGGACGCCGAAGCAGAAGTGCCATTCTATGATCATGTTTTGCTGGACAATCTACTTGACGGCTTCCCTGAGAAGGGACCCATCAGACAGTTCATGGAGCTGGTTATCATGGGCCTGTCTCACAACCCGTACATCACCGTAGAACGGAAGCACGAGTTAGTCAAGTTCTACAAGGACTTTTTTGAGGAGAGAAACATGCTCAATCTGGAAATTACCGAAGAGGCAAACAACGAGTCAACTTTATAACCATTTTTGTATAGAAAATCAGTAAACTACTTCAATAGAATTATAAATAGTATCACATTGATAAGAACAAACAAGTAGCTGCCTCCGAAGTAAAGGCCGCTTTTCTTCTCCACACCTTCCTTCCACTCTCTGTACTGGTCGATGTAGAGCAATCTATTCTCCTGACCTGGTGGCCGCTCAAAGGCCGAAGGCACGGGAAGCAAACTGCTGAAGAACTTTTGCAGCAGACCGTGCAGTTGAGCGTCGGCGGTATGATTGACGCCATGCTCCAGATTATCATTCAAACAGATGAACTTCTTGCGCACCCGTCTCAGCTCATCGAGCTCCTCCTCAAGAACGGTCGCATTAGAACGCAGCATTTTGAAGGCCACCTCGTCATCGTTGAGCGTTTCGAAGCGGTTTCGATTTCTCTTTGGCCACTTGCTGGCAATTTTCTCCCTTAGAAAGGTGCAATTGAGCAGTTGATCGATTGGCAGATCAACTGGGAGCTAGTCGGAGAGTAAACAAGTGGTAATATAGTGTCACTAACTGTACAGCAACTGCAACTGCCACTTACTAGCTTACCTCTTGCTGCCAAATCGACCGACCGCTGCTGCTGCTGCTGCCATTCACTGGGGGAAGGTGACACTCTGGCGGCAGGGAGCAATTACGAAGATCACCGAAGAACAGTAGGGAATTCTCCTCCGTCAGCGGCAGCTGCTCCACCATGTGAATGGCCAGTGTCTTCAACTCATTCAGCGATAGCCTCCTGCGTTCAGTGGAAGTAGGGTAAATTCAGTGTTTCAGTGTGAGTTTCAGGAAACATGTCAATTACCCCGATTGGTCGGTGTCAAATTGGCGCAGCGCCTCCTCCGCGGTGCACTCTTCAGTTTCACTCATTAGAAAGTGGAAATAGGAGAAGCTAAACTGCATGTCCTCGCTGTTGCGAAACTGACTGGCCGAGGTGTGCGCAAAGCGGTCGGCGAATCGTTCCTGCATCCGCCTGATAATGTCCTAGTGTGTATAAAATTAGTCAAATTGAATGTTAAACTGTATAGAGATGTGTGACAGTACCACGTCAACGTAGTGCGGCATGTGGGCGACCACTTGGCGAGACTGTACGCCGAACACCTGATTGTACATGTGATTCACGTAGATGAGCGAGTCGGCGTAGGCGTCTAGCAGGCGCCGAGATCGATAACTGCTTTCATTGTGGACAACATCATCGGCCAGTAAATACTGCTCTATGAACTGATTCATTGCACCTTCCGGTTCTTTTTCTTCTGTTTGTAGTTTTTCAGTTCTGGCCTGCTCATCATTAGTAGCGGTAGTTGAGCAAATAATGTCCGCGTAGAGTTGTTTCAGTAGTGAGTTAAAGTACTGTTGTCCGGTGTCGGTGACCAGTCCGCGGTTCAACTGACGTCTGATTTGCTCAAACTTTTGGCGCACTTCACCGCTCATTGCGTCAATTTCAGCGCTGCACGGCAGACTGAATGATGTCTGCCCCTGAGTGACTGTCGGCAGAGTGATCACCATTGTTTGATCAGTCGATGGACTGTTAGTGTTCCACCGCTGCTGTTCCTGCTGCTGTCGTGCCAGAGATGCATTAGCCTCTAGCCACTGTATGAGCTGTGGCAGGTTAAAGTTGGTCTCCTCAATGTCCTTCCTCACTGTGTGCCCCTTGCTGTCCTTCTGCACTTCTACGTACAGCGAAAAGTTGAATGTTTTCTGATTAATTTTGGCCAATAGCGTAAAGGCGAGTGGCTCATGATTCTCGCTGATGTTCGGCCGCAGGAGAACCGTAAGAATGCTGTGCTTCAGATTGAGCACTGCACTGAAGACGGTGGAGACATTGCGGTACTGGGCACCGGTCAGCTTCACCTGGTAGTGCTGCTCACCGACGGGGAGGACAGTGCACAGTTGCGTCAAGTTTAGCAGAAGGACGGTCGAGTTGTTGTCCGGCTGGTAGGTGTAGACATTGGCGCTCTGGTTCACCTCAATCTGGCGGGCAATCCCCTCCAAGTGCGTCACGCCGCAGTCAGCCATATCGTAGGCGCAGTTCTCATTATTGCACACCTGATCGCAGAAGCCATCTCCGAGCCAGTTTGTTAGGCAGTTGGGCGCACACAGCTCGCTGTTTGTCGCTGATGCCTCGTAGTGATGAGAGTAGGCCGCAGTGGAGGCCGCCGAGTTATTGCCGCCGGTGGCCGAATCAGCGCCGCCATTGCGCAGACAGTCGCCGCCGTCCCAGAGACACTTTGAGGAGTTGCAGGCTGTGTGGTACAAATTGCAAAATAATTTAGTTGTTAGTAATGTGTGTGTGTGTGTGTGTGTGTGTGTGTTTGCAAATCGAAATTAAATGTAAATAGCCCCCTTCGCACAACCTTTATCGCAGTAGCCATCATTGAGCCAGTTCAGCGGACAGCCCTGGGCGCAGTTTGGCACAGGCCAACTGAGGTACACCTTGAAACCTCTGCTCTCCGTATAAAAGTCATCCGGGTAGATGGGCTTCCCGAGAATTATGTCATCGTTGAGGTAGAGAAACTGCGGTGACACGCCGGCAATGCGATGCAGGTGGCACTCAATGGCAGAAGAGCTGAAGGTGGGCAGGTGACTTTGGTTGGCGAAGATGTCCTGACAATGGAGAGGTGGAGTGAAAATGGATGATGGCTAACATCAGTACACTGCTACTACCGCCACTTGAATTGCTGTCAATTGCTGCAAACGACTTACGCGATGCTGCACAATACGTAGGCGTGGGTGCTCTACATTGAGCCATCTGGGAATCTGTCCATTAGTCACCAGAAAGACGTTTCGAATCCAGGGAGCAAAGCGCTCCAGGGAACGCAGTGAGTACCTCAATTCATCATTGTCGGCAAATCGATTCCGCCGAACGCTTTCACTCTCGAGCTGATGCTCAAAGAAGCCTACATCTGTCATCAGCACCGGAAGCGGATGTGTGGAGACAAAGTTGCACCGTTCACTACTTGCGTTCTGCAGGTTCTCCTTGGCCTGCAGCAGCGACACTATCTTGCTAAAGTTTAACCACTGAACAGTAGTGGTGATGGTGAACTTGGTCGTGTACAGAAAGACATTGGGCGGCTCAACTTCCAGTGAATGCAACTGTTTCGCTGTCCCCGGCAAACGGCTTTTCAGTGGATCGCTCCAGGCAGAGTCGCAGTCTTGCTCGGTACTGCTGGTCGCGGTGGTAGTTAGGCCAAAGATAGTGATGAGCTCGAGGTGAGCATTAACATCGCCAGTTCCAGTGCAACTGTAGAGGTTCGTCAGTTTGTACAGGCGATCGGCAATTACGCGCACACAACTGGCGCCCAGTGTGCGAGCTGCAAAATGTGGGGAAATAAAAAAGACATTCATTGCAAATTAGATTCCGCTTAGTTCAGCAGAATACGGCCAATTACCTGCGTCTAAACTGTGCAAATATATCACTGTTGAACTGTCGTTCCACTTTTCAAATTTGAGCACGTCATCAAAATGATGGTGCGGATGGGCCAGTGGAGGTCGGAGAAGCATCAGTGGCAGGAGAAAGCACGAAGAATTAGATGAGTTGTTGCCTGCTGTCCAGCTGGGCACAGTTGTTTCTGAGTAGCAAAATTGACGCAGTGTCTCTGCCGACAGTTGATTGCTGATTCTCAGCATCTCTGCCTGCATTCCCTCATCACTGCCGTTAACCCAGGTGTACACCGCATCAATTGCCGCCGATGATCGGCGGTGTTTTTGCTGACATGGCACTCCGCTCCCGGAATCCCCAGACGTTGAGCAGACGTCGGCCACTCTGCCATAGTCACTGCTTTCGATGAGGTTTTCATTGACGAGGAAGATCTAGTGTTTTGCAGCGAGTAACAGTTAGAACAGATAAAGAAACAAACAGACAGACAGAAAGTGAACACCGGTTACTAACCTCAAATATCTTGTAGCTGGCAACTAGAACGAAGTAAATGAGAAGGCAACATTTGAGTCGTTTCTGGCAGCAAGCTCGAAACCAACGACGCACTGCTCTTGCATGCTTGAATGGCCATCGGAAGCGAAATTTCAAGGGCATGACTGTTGACAAACATGCTGATTTACCAAAAAGGTGATTCTCAGTGTCTCAGTCCATTGGAGAGTACCAAGTTAAGTTCAGCGGTTGTGGCCGTAGCCAGTAGGCAAGCCAGCTCAAACACACAAACACACACACAAACCTTATTCAACATGACTAACGTTTTTCTTCTGCGATTAGATAAGTTTCAAAGCGCGTGATAATCATCAGAAGAGCAGCGTTGCGCTCTCTTCTATCAGCTAAAGCCACAGTTCCTTCTTTTAAGAAAATGAACGTATTGTTGTATCTCTGATTTAAAACGTTTGCAATAACACTGACTCTGCCTTACATGCTTAAAAAAGTGTTCAGAGGTGGGAGAAAATAGTTTTATTGGGAAAACAGCGTCAAAGAAAGAATCAGAAACAATCGGAAAAATTGTAGAGAAAAGAGAGAGTGAGAGAGAAGAAACTGGAATGAAGTGTTGGTTTTGGTGGTGGTGGTGGTGGCCGAACAGATGGTGACAGTCGTGCCCAGCAGAAAGCAAAAGAAATAAAAGGTTGGTTGTGTGTAGGTGGGAGTGTGAGTGTGTTGAGATGTGTTTTTGGTGGTGTGTCGTAGCATGACTGTGATCGAACAGTAGTAAAATAAAGTAAAAATTTATTGGCCAAAAACAAAAAGAAAGGTAAAATAAAAAGTCATCGGCAAATTCAAATGCGAAAACAGGTGGGATGCTAAGAAAGCGGTCAGGTCACTACGGTAGTGGTGGAGGTGGTGGTTGTGGGTGGGTGTTTTTGCAGGTGTCAATAGAAGTTATAGTGTAGAGAAGTAGTGGTAGATGTAGTAGTAGTAGTTCACAGAAAAATAGTAGACTTTGCTTACGTAGGTAACAGTCAGTTCAATCGGAGACTTGCTCAGTTCTGGTGTTGCTTTGACAGGTACAATATATAAGAAGTATATCAGAGGTTAGGTGACGGAAGAAGAAGAAGAAGAAGAAGGTGAAAAGAAAGATATGTGACAGTCAGCTGCTGCTTCGTTTGGTGGTGGTGGTGATCCTGCTGCTCCACTTGGGAGTTTAATCGTTTCAACGTTTAGACGATCTGTTTGCTTGTGGTGGTAGATAGAGAGGTGGAAGGTAGGTAGGTGGGCTCGGCGCGTGCAATACGGCGAGTGACAAGAGAAGGCAAAGAAAAAGAAAAGAAACAAAACATTTTGAGAACGCAACAAAGGAACTAGAGGAGTATGGCACACAGGTTGAATCGTGTGAGGAGATTTGAAAAAAAGTGAGGAAAGTACAGGGAAAGAGGGAAGAGGAAAGAAGGAAGAGGGCGACTAAAAGCTTCAAATTGGGTGCTTCTGCTGCTGCTGTCGCTGATCTGATATTGGTGGCACAACTGTCATAGTTGTTGTTGTTGTTGACGGCAAGTGATGTTGATGTCTTCGGTGAGGTGACTTGCTGGCTGAATCCACAGAGATACTTTGCGTTTGTAGTGACAATCAAAAGCAACTGCCAGTGCTGATCGAGAAAAAAGAATAGAAAGAATGTATGTACAGACTGTTCGACATGTTTTGGAGAAAGAGCAGAACAGAGAGAAAGAAAGAGAAGGTTCGGGTGAAAGAACGAAACGCAAATGAAATGAAGGTAAGAAGGAGAAGACAGGTGCGTGTATGGTCAGGTGACTATTGACAGAAAGGAAACAAAAGCGAGGTGAAGGAGGAGGAGGAAGAGGAGATATCAACTTAAAAAGTTTCGTGAGGATCAGAGAAAGAGGAAGGAAGGGAAGAGGGAGAGATGAAGCGTGATGAAGACACAGTGGGAGGTGGAAGTAGTGCTCTTAGAAGTTGGTATCATCCCACTCCAGCTCGGGGCGAACTTTGGCTTTCGGCTCTGCCTCCTCTTCGCTGGTCTCTCCGTCTTCGTGGTAGCTGCTGGCGTCGTCCGAGCTGTCACTGTCATCATCGTCGTCGTTCAGCTGCTGACCTTCCTGATCCTGTTCAATTTGCTAGAGGGGAAGTTAAAGTTGAGAAGATTGATCAAGTGACTGAAAAAGCATTAAAAAGAGTGAATCCTTACATCCAGTGGGTTGACGGTAATGGTCAGGGAAGACTCGTCCCAGGTCATCTCTGCATCCTCCTCGCGGTTATCATTGACGCGATGGTGTGCCGATCGAATGCGAATGACGCCGAGGACAATCATGAAGACGAGAAAGCCGACGCAGACGACGATGATAATGGTCACTGCGTGGCCTGTAGTGATGAAGGAGAAAAAATGTTTAGCAATTAGAATGGTTCATATGTAACTGTAACAATTGACACGTACTGGGAGTGGCACGAGCAAAGTTGTCACTCGCGTCGACGATGCTGCTGTCGAAGAAACCGGAAGACACCTGCTTGATGCGCGGATCCTTCAGGTCGACCTTGTGGTCGTGGATCATGGCGTGTGCCGGCATGGGCTGCACTTCGACCACATTGGTGCGCTGCTGCTGCTGCGATTGCTGCGGCGGCACATCGGTGGGCTCCACCTTGGGGTGAATGACGGTCAGCGTTTGGATGTAGTCATTGCTGGAGAAGCGGCCATTCAGCTCGGAGCAGGACAGCTTAAAAGCTCGGTTCAGGTAGTAAGCGGGCTTTCGGTTGAAGTAAATCAGCTGGCGCAGAATTTGCTGGTAGTTGTGAACCGAGTCGGCGCCTTTTTGTTTTTTGGTTAGAAAATGCAGTCACTGAGTAAGATAGTGAATGGGGCGTCGAATAAACTTACCGAAGATGACAATGCCGTCCTTTGTCTCCTTGTGACGAATCTCCAGGTGCTCCATCATGTTGGTGGGCACGCGGAAGTACTCGTGATCGGGATTCAGCGGCGGGTACACCTGAATGTTGCAGCTGTCCAGTTTGTGTTCGCCAATCAACTTGCTGATGCCCGCTGGGACGTCTCCATTGGCGGCGCCCTCCTCACCGTCGTCGGCAGTGCCCTCGTCAATCTCATTCTCTGTCTCGCCCTCCTCACCGTCGTTGTCCTGATTGACAAAGATGGAGATGGAGTTGAACAGCTCAATGCCCTGCATGAAGGACTCGTATTCGCGTGCCAGATTCGGAGTGCCATTGATGGCGATGGTCGGCTGCTCTGCCGGCATCACCATCACGTACGAGTCCACCTGCGGAATCTTCAGCGACTTTCCATTGGCGCAACTGTGTGTGGTTTACGAGCAAATCCCAACAATAACATTAAAGTAACAATCTTACCCTAAGCAAGAAGAAAACTATGAACAAATAAACTTACGAAATAGAGGTGGAGAGCTTGAGACTTCTCCTGCCCGGGGTGGGATACTCTCGGGTGTTACTGTAGGAGATCTGCGAGATGACGTCCTCCACGTCGATGGACTCCTTTCCGTTGACCAGAATCGACGTCGAGTCGCTGTTGGTGAGAATGTCAATGCCCGACTCAATTGAATCAGCACTGGGCTGGTGCAGTCCCTCCTTGCACCGGTGCAGACAGCGCAACACATCGGGACTTTCCATCTGACCTCGCAGAATGCTGCAAACGAACGTACATTATTAACGGCTCTTGTTTCTGCGGCGTATTTTTGTTTACCTCAGACCGGCGAGGAAGCCTCTGAAGTGGAAGTTCATCTTTGCCTTCTTGCCCTCCCAACAGGCGCCCACGCTGAAGGTGGTCTTGACGTCCTTCACCGCGTGCAGCGGCCAGTCGTCGACAATCTCCGGATTGGTGGTCGTGTTGTGGAACTTGTTACCGTCAATGTAGAGCGTCGCATCAGGAAAGTCCATGCTGACCGAGTAGTGGTGCCACTCGTTGTCGCACGTCTCCGCCAGCTTCCAGCGGTACTCGGCGGGCTTGAAAACGGTGTGCTTCTCCTGGTTGAATTCTCGTCGCAGCAGCATGATCAGTCGACAGTTGCGCACAAACATCGAGTAGTGGTGACGGTTCTTTTCTGTAAGCAAGAAAGAAAAAGAAGAAAGAGGTGGAGGAACAAACACAAGGCGTAAGTAAATCTCAGCAGTTTAGAAGACAGAAAATGGTAAACTACAACGTACTGTGGTCATCAGCATTGCAGATAATGTGCTCCTTGATGTGCTTGTTCGACTGGTCCAGCGGTGGCTCGTGCTTCATCCAAAAGGAGACGGAAAACTTGCTGGTGAGGTTGTGATCAAAGACGTCCTCAGGGACGAGCACCGAGTTGGAGGCGCCGTCAAACTCGTAGATCTGGTCACTCTCCCGTCCCTCGTCAGTGGGCAGGTCGCGAATCCACTCGGCGCCGCTGTTCGAGGAAGGTAAGAGGTCGATGCTCTCCGTGCTGGCGCCTGTAATGTACAACAACAACAACGACGACGAGTGACGCCCAATGAGTCCACTGGTTCTGCCTTTCACTTTCTCTTTCTCTCTGCACTGTGACTGTGAATACTTACCGCATAGCTTCCTCTGCGACTCCACCGAGTAGGTGTCCCGATCGCAGCCCTTGCCGATGTGGTGAGTGGCCAGGGAGACGTGCACGGTGACGTTCTTCGTCTCACAGAGCAGATCGCACAGCTGCAGTTCGGCCTCCGGGACGAGGACGCGAGAGCCAGAGCCAGACATGTACTCGATTCGCTCAGGAACTCCTAGAGAGATAGATAGTTACACGCATTCAGTCAGATAGGTTAATCACGATCCTCCAAACTGTGTCTGTCTCTCTTTCTGTGTATGCAAAACTGAAGCTGCAGCTGATCGATCTCATTTGAATAAAGGCTTTCTAATGGCCTGACTGATCTAAATGCAAATGAGCCATCTCGAGAAGAGCTAATTTGTGTCAAGCACTGCCAACAACGGCTGCTGCTGTTGCTACCCTGCCACCCTGCACAACTACTGCCTTCTCTGCTTTCTCTCTGCAAGCATCGATAAAGTGTTCCGCAGTAGATAGCAGCCAGAGTAATCCCCCTCTGTCCAAGTGCTGCCTGGTAATTAGTAGAACAGCGCTGGGGAGAACACAAAGGGCAACAAGCAAATGGAAAAGCACTGGCAGTTTGATAGAGGAGCTGGAGAGGGAAGAAGAAGAAAAAGAAGAAAAAGACGAAGAAGATGCGCGAACGAACCTTTCCAGCCGAGGGTGCAGACTTTATTAATTTTGATGTTGACAATGGCGGGCTTGGAGCGCTTCATGCCGCAGTCGTAGGCGACCACCTCGAGGATGTGATTGTGCGACTCCTTGTAGTAGAGCGCCCGGGTGTTCTTGATATTACCATTGGCATCGATCACGAAGGGAGTGTTGAGCTTGTCTCCGCCGACGATCTCGTACTTGCAGATTTCGTTGAACTTGCTGCTGCAGTCATGGTCGATCGCCTCCACTTGGATGATTGGATCGATAATGCGACCCTCGTTCACTGTCACCGTGTACGAGTCCTGGCGGAAGATGGGCGCATATTCATTCAGGTCCTCCACGACTATGTACACAGTGGCGCTGAAGAGTGGGAAGGAAAAAGGTGATTAGCGGGAACAGGGGAAAGAAGAGGAGGAAAAGGCAAAAGGCGAAAAAAGTGAACAAATTAGCAAGTTGAAAAAGAAGAAGTAGGGTGATGGTACAAATAGAATAACTTTGTTCACGGTCTGCACAAACTTACTTCTCCGAGTACTGTCCAGTGCAAGAGACGGCTCGCATTGTGAAGTGATAGGAGCGTCGCTTTTCACAGTTGAGTTCCCGCTTAGCGGTAACAATCGCCTCGCCGTTGATCTGGTCAGTGATCTGAATCTCAAACGGCATGTCATTGTGGTGCTTGTTCACTATCTCGATGTTGCACAGTTCGGCTGCAGTGCACAAAAAAGTAGTAAGTTAGAAAGGTCAAAGGTGAGAGGAGGAAATAATGAGTCTCTAATGGCCAATTTGGTCACCACTTACCGTCGACCACTTTTATTCTCGGTGAGATGATCACCGTTCTGTCATTTTCTTTCACAATGGCGTGAAATCCTACTTCAGGCTTGACGAGATCAAAGCGTGGCACTGCAAAAAGAAAGAAAACGATAAAGGTTAATTCACATTGACAATAGTAAAGTGCTTCCGATGAGAGGGTGCAGTGAATGGGGGTGGAAAGGGGAAAAACACAGAAGAGATTGAGAAACGAGTGAGAGTAACGAAATTTAAAAGTACTATCCAAAAATAGAGCACAGACGAGAAATTAATGGGAAAAAGAGTGAGCAATGAGACTAGAGCCTTTCCACTAATGAAAAGTGCTGCCTGTTGGGTGGCAGCAGCAGTGTGAGCTTTGACAGTAAAGTGGTAGAGAGTAGCATCGCCATTCACATCGACGTTCAGTGCTCACTCGCTCGCTCGCTTGCTCAACTGTTCCCAGCATTGACACCGATTTTAAGTACAGTCTGCTAAATGCAGTAGCAAATAATTGAGAGTGCAAAAGTGAGAGAGTGACAGTCGGTAGGGAAGCTCCAGCGATTGGCACAGACAGTGCGGCGCAAAGTGCAGCACAGTGGCACAGCAGAGCATGGCAATGGTGTGCAAAGGCTGTCGGTGCCGATGACGGTTGGCACAATCGGCTGTGCGTATCTTCTGCTGAAATATGAACCGGTTTATCGAGTGATACTGTCGGTGAGAATGCAAACACAGGACGGCATAGAAAGACAGCAGGGAAAGAGAGTGACAGATTGGGGCGAGCAGTGACGCGAACAGACAGCTGAGAACACAAAAAACTGAGGTTTCAGGAAAAATGGGCCAACTGCAGGGNGCTCCAGCGATTGGCACAGACAGTGCGGCGCAAAGTGCAGCACAGTGGCACAGCAGAGCATGGCAATGGTGTGCAAAGGCTGTCGGTGCCGATGACGGTTGGCACAATCGGCTGTGCGTATCTTCTGCTGAAATATGAACCGGTTTATCGAGTGATACTGTCGGTGAGAATGCAAACACAGGACGGCATAGAAAGACAGCAGGGAAAGAGAGTGACAGATTGGGGCGAGCAGTGACGCGAACAGACAGCTGAGAACACAAAAAACTGAGGTTTCAGGAAAAATGGGCCAACTGCAGGGAAATCGACTTTTTGTAAAAGACTGAATGCGCACATCTCTCACTATCTTTCACTCTCTTTTTTACCCTTTACGTCGACCTGAAAACACGCGAGTTTGAGCAACCTAATTTGTGATTTTAATGAGTGGCAAACAGTGGAAACTAGTGCGTGAGGGAGAGACTCAACAGCAGTAGAGCGATGGAAGCAGTGCCAACCAAAAAGTCTGCCACGAAAAGAGAAAAGTCACCAGCGTCGCNGAAATCGACTTTTTGTAAAAGACTGAATGCGCACATCTCTCACTATCTTTCACTCTCTTTTTTACCCTTTACGTCGACCTGAAAACACGCGAGTTTGAGCAACCTAATTTGTGATTTTAATGAGTGGCAAACAGTGGAAACTAGTGCGTGAGGGAGAGACTCAACAGCAGTAGAGCGATGGAAGCAGTGCCAACCAAAAAGTCTGCCACGAAAAGAGAAAAGTCACCAGCGTCGCTAATTGCAAATCAACATTCTCTCGCAGTCTCTGGTCTGTCTCTGTNAGAGAGAGATTCAACAGCAGTAGAGCGATGGAAGTAGTGCCAACCAAAAAGTCTGCCACGAAAAGAGAAAAGTCACCAGCGTCGCTAATTGCAAATCAACATTCTCTCGCAGTCTCTGGTCTGTCTCTGTCACTCTGTCCACGAACAGTCATGTTGGACTTAATTACATTAAATTTAAATTAATAAAAGACATTAACGTCGCAAGGCAAATAAAAAGTGCAGTCAGTGGGAACGTGATAATGAATGCTGACAGAGGAAAGAGAGAGAGAGAGAGAGAGCAGTAAAGAGTGATGGACCGAATAATTCAGTGCCCATTGGGGCGCCGTCAGTGCCCGTGCCATTGTGGTGGCGGTAGAGTGGCGGTCGTGCAGCTGGTGACAATTGGCCAACTTAGCCGACTTCCACTGACCAAGCGTCCGTCCAACCGCGCAAACAGGTCAGGGGCGTGAGAATGATTCACTGAGAGAGAACGAGAGAGAGAGAGATAGAGTTGCTTTCCAACACACTCACAAGCACACAACCCATTTGCCAAGAAAAAAGCTTTGAAATTCTGATGGCCACTGGCTAAATGCAGCTCCCCTTTCTCCTCTGCACAGCCTGCACTACTTTGAATGATGTCATCAGGAAAAGCACTGCAGGAAAGCCAACTGCTGCTGCTTCAACACTGTTCATCAGTGTTGTCTCAGCTTGGCGATAGACAGTGAAAAGTGAATCGATAGTGCGTCTCATCTATTTAGCAAGTGTGTGCGTAAGAGAGCTGAGAGTGAGGACATGAACACCGCAAGTGGGACGAGTAATGAGCCTTCAGGAAGAGCTGAGAAGCTGCCACTCGATTAGAGGGAGCGATGAGTACTGCCCAGCAGCAGCAGCAGGCAGTGCAGCCATTATTATTAAAGAAGAGTACTGAAGGCTGGCAAGGCGCCTGTGGCCACTGGCCAGCAATCTCTCTCAGACAGACAACAATTCACTTTCTTTCACTTTTACTCTCCTTCAGTGTGCATCCTATCGATCGAACACTAGTGTACATTAGTGCCCTGCAATCTACAAAAGGCTGCAAAAAATATGAAATCGCCAAAGCTGTTGCAAGAATTAGTCAGAGTGGAAAAAATGGCTGGAGATAAAGGAAAAGTGTAGAGAAGCACTTGGAGACAGTGCTCCCTCAGGAGAACCTGCGGCAAAGTGTAGTGTACTAGTAAACTGGTGAAGTGCAAAGAGCGAACTCTGTCTAAACTGGCCATTTCCATTCAACGCTGATTCTACAGGCGATGCTGAGTCCTCCTTGTCCAGGACGCCCACTGCCGCTTATGAATAGCATTTGAGGACAGCTCTGTCGACTCTGCAGCATATGCCTCCAGTGAGCAGTGAGCAGTGAGGCACATGCACACAGAGAATACGCAGTTTTCAGTTACAATGCAAATGCCTCTGCTGACAGTGTTGGTCTGTGTGTGTGTGTTTAGACCGTAAATGAAGAGGCACCGACCGCAATCATTTGTTTCGGGACATTGAGGCCGGATAGTTTATTAGTGGCAAAATGGAAACGGAAGTCAGTCTTGCGAGAAAGTAGCTGCCAGAGGCCAGTCAGTCGGCAAAGGGGTGCACGACTCTCTCTCTCTCTCTCCTATACACTGTACACTGTTTGTCCCCCCACTCTGCCTCTCCAATCGGCAGTGGCAGAGTGAGTGCCAATGAATGAGCCCCACTGGCTGCAGTGCAGAGTGACCCAATGGGCTGGGGCATCTAATTCGGACACGTTTGCAGGCTCGCTTGGTTCAATCAAACTGCGTGATTTGAATGCTAGATGCTGCAGATCACGCAGAGTGACACTTTCAGCTACACTTTCTCAGTGGCTTCGCCTGCGCCTGTGGTACTTTCGGAACTCTCTGCACACTTCCCTTTCGCCACTTCCCCTTACCAGGCGCCTGTCGGTTGACTACGGCAGGCAACAGTGAAGTAGAGAGAGACAAACTGTAGACAGTGTGCGCACAGTGGACATAGACATAAATTTTGTTTAGAGTTCAAATGGAGTTATTTAATCCAATTTAGCAGCCACCTAACAATGCCTGGAACAATGCATCAGCGACAACAGCAGCAGCGCCAAACATCGGAGACAGTAGCCGTCAGCAGGGGCAATGGGCCGCGTCGACATCACTAATTCATGAGTGCAAGTGCATTAGCTGACATCTAATTCGAAGGAGAAAGAAACAGGGAATGAAAGGGAAAAGGGAAAAAAGACATGCACACAAACAGACAAACACAATCACACATACACACAGTGAACTGTCCATTGGCAGTGGACTGCAAAAACGTGCTGATTAATTGACTCCATCAGCGATATTGCTGTCCCATTGACTGGTCAACAGGAAGCGCAGCCAGTGCCTCTTTGAGAACATGGCGCTGCAGTCGACGGTGTAGCGCTTCCAAAGTCATGCTACAGGAACGCACAAGGTCACGCCATTTGTTGGCCATTTGTCTGGCAGTCAACAGCAGCCAACAGCTAACAACCGAAAAAGCAAGAAGAGTAGCAGACATCAAGCCCTGCTTAGCATTCAGAACATCTAACCACAAATTATAACGCTGGCACAAATGGAACCGCAACAAGAGGAATATTGTAACAAGAGCAGTAAGAGACAGTGAAAACCTCGAGAGGTTCACCTTTCCCGGACAAGGGAAACAGTCAAACTCGTTACGGCCTAATTGCCTGCGCTCTGCGTTCCGCTGCACTGCTAGAACAAAATGGCAGTGGGAGGGAAACAGTGCAATGGGACGGAGGTAGCAAAGAGACTGAGAACGGCAAATGACAGAGACACTAGTGAGATGCACTGCAGGGAGAGAGTGAAGGAAAGTCTGATGGATCGGTGGTGCAAGTGCTCTTCCCAGCAGTGCGCACTGCAGGTGAGTAGTCACTCACTCACTAGAAGAGGTAATGGCCAAAATAAAACATGGGCCCCATGACAAGGCAGCAGCAGTAGTCAACGACTCGTGACCGAGCCACAAAAGCTCACAATGGAGGCAAAAAGCGTAGCCAACTTGGCTCATTCGTCTTGTTTTCACGAGAAGCTTTTTGGCCAATGTGAAGAAGCATATGGGCAGCAGTGTCCAGAGCTGCTGGGAAGAAGCATCCCTGAACTGACTTTGACCGCTATCCGCTTGGACTCAGTGTGGTGGTGATGGTGTTGGCAAAAAAAGAAGGAGAAGGAGAAAAAGAAGAAAGATAGAGAGACCAATTATGATAATGATAAAGCGATCAAGGAGGACAGTAATTGAGTTAGGGCGAATCGGTGGTAGGGCGCCTGCATGCCTGGTGCCGGATCGGTGCGAGTTGAGCATTAATCAACTGCAACCTTAGAATGGCGAAAAGGCACAGACTGGTCGATAAGGCACAAATGTGGCGATTGTTTTTCACACACACACACACACCACATGCACTGACACTGTCAAGTAAGGACCAGG